CAGACAACCTCGCAAGGAGAAGAAAACCCACTGGGCCCCAGCCCCAGAAGGTAAGAAACACCTAAACGCTACTAACAAACAGGAACCAAAGCATGAACTCCTTAACTGGACTGCATGCTACGACGACAAATGTACGGTACACCTAAGCGACAAACAAGGTACCGGATGGTTTCCAAAACCACCAAAGAGAACCCTTGCAATGATGCAACGAAGGATTCCACGACACCGAAACAAGTCAAATTCGCAGAGACAGAATATCCCTATCCTGAAGGAGTCTCACAAGACTGGATCAGGAAGAACGGCAAACGATTCCAGGAAGACATGCGAATTAAAGACCGACAGCAAAGACGGGCAGTCTACAAACAACATAACAAAGAGGACACGGACGCAGCCCTTATGCTCACAAAACTCGGACAACAACCCGAAGAAGATCAACGGAGTGTCGACGACACAAGCTCTGAAGAACAAGAGACACCCGAAGAAACAGAAGACGAAAACGAACTCGCACCACCACCCTCACTACTAAGGAAAACGCCACGATTGGAGAACACGCCCCATACTTCGAAGAATTCGAAGAGATGCTCAAAATTGGAACCCAGCAAATACCTCAAATTCTCACGGAAAACCAACAAGCTGCGATGATTCGATACCAACCGGCACCACGCGGAGGAGACTACGCTGTGGCTATCGCCGCGGTCGACACCTTTACAGCTCTACAACGAGAATGGCAACCACGAGGAGAATTTTCAGATGACCCAAGAACAGTGCTCAGTCACGAAGAGCACAAACATATTTCATGGATCTCATGCGTCTATTTGGACTGCATGATACACTTCCAGAAGAAGGCACGACACAACGCTTTCCCAGTCAGATTCGACGGACAAATACTTTCGAAACCCTACCTAAGCACGGAACTGGACTACTGGAAAATCGATCAACGTTACCCGAACGACCAAGTCATGTTATTGGAACCCGATTACGGCACGCCACTTGAATGCCGCGATGATTACGGTTCTTTAACGAGATGTCTTTCGGAAACATGCAAAATCCACAAACACGCCAAAATTGGGGAATGGCACAACGCCACTCGCTCTAAGGCATCCGAACCATCTATCTTCACAAGACTCGCGCAACGAATCAGATGCGACGAAGAAGATTACAACGAATGTGCACACCCGAACTGCAAAGTTCACGAACACGAAAAGGCACGAGCATGGCACAAACGACACAACGGTGCACCAAAGGACTACTGGCGACACCTACGAAGGCTACAAGCTACATTCGACCAAGGAAAATTAACGCAGAAGAACTACGCGCAAAACAGAAAGACGCAGAACGAAAACTCGATTCCTGGTACGAAAACGAACAGAATTGCGAAGCACGGTACGCAATCAACTGCGAAGCAGCACAATGCAAACAACACAGCGTTGAGAAACAAGAAATCTTCGATTGGCTACAAGAAATCAGTCTCTTGAGCCCCGACACGACACCACGCGACGAAAACATAAAGAAACGATATCAACAACAAATCGAAGAAGAATACCCAAATGAAACGAATAAGGACCAGGCAAAAAACGAGGTACGCCATCTGTAAAAGGGCTACAGACTGGCACGACACGACAAGATCCAAGGACCCTATGCATGGCAACGGCAAGCCATGGCAACCAAATGGTATTGGACATCCAAATCGCGGGACATCACGTACACGCACTATTGGATTGCGGCGCGATGGGCAATTACGTTTCACCTAGAGTCATCAATCGTTACCGACTCCCATGGAGACACAAGAAAGATCCATATGAACTCACGAATATCGAAGGAGAGGCCTTCAACTATAACAACGGAATCATTGATATGGAGATTGATCACCTCGACATCAATATCCAGGGCCACGACGAACGAGTCGACTTCGACATCATGGACATTGGAGAACACGACCTTGTGTTAGGGCTTCCATGGTTACAGGAGAGCAACCCACTGATCAACTGGAAAACTGGCCAGCTGCGTTGGAACGAAGACGCAAGTTTCCAAGACCAGCAGATTTGGGAGAAAGCAAAATTTTGCGATGATTTAGCCACTGAACAGGACGAAAGGGATGACCGTTCAAGCAAATCATTACGGGCTTCAGCGATACAAACGAAAACAGCAACCGAACCGGCGGACACAACAAAATCGACTGACAAGACCCACGTACTGACCAACACGGCTGTACAACCTGGCATCCGACATAAACAGAACAAAGGACACAACAAGAAGATCCGAAGAGTTATTGCCACTCTAAGGAAAGACCTCGAACAAATCAACAAAGAGCTCGAGTCAAGGGAAACCAGCTCTCAAAAGAAAGAACAAAGCCCACAAGACAGAATGAAGAACATCCCACAGGAATACCGGAAATACGACAAACTCTTCAAGGAAGAACTCGAGACAGGGTTACCTAAATATAGCTAATAGGACCACGAAATTTGTCTCAAAGATGGAAGAACGCCGACGTTCCATAAGATTTACAACCTAAACGAAAAGCAACTGCAAACGCTACGCGACTACCTCGACGAGAATCTACGAAAGGGATACATACGAACATCAACATCCGAAGCAGGCTACCCAGTCATGTTTGTTCCAAAGAAAACGGCAAGCTACGACTAGTTGTCGACTACAGACGCCTAAACGATATTACAATGAAGGACCGAACACCATTACCGCTTATATCGGAACTACGAGATCGACTGCACGGCAAAAAATGGTTTACGGCCCTCGATCTCAAAGGCGCCTACAACTTAATACGCATGAAAAAGGGACACGAATGGATGACAGCTTTCAGAACGAAATTCGGACTATTCGAATAAGGGATTTTCCGATGATCTGCCGGATCTGGTGATCTGCCGGATTGCGGCGACTTCGCACGCTCAACATCAATCGACAATAGCTCAACAACAACGGTGCCAATTGACGTATCCTTTGATTTCCTGAATCATCAGAAGCAGTGAAAGTCTGGCATATATTTAGAACTTTTATCTAGGGGCAATGCGCTGCGGTGCTGACATCAAACCAAGCAACGGCCAAAATAGGATGCCGACAGATTGTGTAAGTCATTTCAGCCAATACAGCAAAAACAGAACATTATTGGCTTTCATCGTAGGCTTTAATCATGTGGGATTCTCCCATTCTATCCATAGTGCAGAACTTGGCTCAGGATACTGCAAAAATGGGGTTGGAAGGGCGAGCTGGATAACTTCATTCTACGCACCCGTAATGAGCCAGATTGAACGTGATTCGACGGTACAAGCATCTTCTGAAAAGAACCTATCTATGCATCTGAATGTAAGGTTTATTTTTAGCTTGAAATTCAGTGCGCGAGGCTCCGCTTTCACACCTGACAAGGAAAGACGTGCACGAAAATTGAGAAATTCGACACCCTACCCTAAAACACGTATAACATGGATGAAATGGGCTTTCTATTCCTTATGAGCATTTGAACGAACAGGGTATTCCTCTTATTATAAGAAAACAAGGCAAAATTGCTCGGCGTATTAAAAAATGGCAACCCATCCTCCCTTACGTTCAAGATGTGCGTCAGTCAAGAGATGGCATCGCTGCCCCATTTCTCATCCACCAAGACAAGCCAGCACAAACTCTGGACTTTTGGTTCGTGAAACGTGAATCAAGTCGTCAATAAATATTTTTAACACGTCAAAAACGAGGTGGACGAATCACAATATTGAAATGAGCAGCTCACCGGTACGTTCGACCGGTTTACCAGGGTGAAAGCTCGAAACGGTTGTGCTTATCGCCTTTGGTTCCCGATGGCCACTTAACCATTTTAGTATCGAATTTATGGAGTGGTGTGACCGGCACCGAGTGATCGTTGTGGTGTTTCCCCTCAATCCATTCATCGGCTGCAACCCTTGATGTATCGTTATTCAGCCTCTCTCAGCGTATACGCATGATCTTATCCAGTACACAGACAAATCAAAAGGTTCATTGATTGCTGAAATCGAAGATCTAGACTGTGTTTTGGAACGCATTTCAGGAAGTAGTCGAGAAGTCCTCTGTTGATGCTGGCCGCAACAGCCGAAGGCTGAGCAGCACCCTCGGAGCCCTCAATATGAGTTTTAAGTGCTTGATATGAGAGTTAAAGTATGCAGAGAACAAGTAGTCACAAGAACCAGCGCAGGCAGACCGGTAAGGCTTCAAAGATGATCTCTTCTGCTGTACAGATTCTAGTGCAGACGAGGTGTTTAGCTCTAAAATTGTGGCTCAAGCTCGCCAAAAAATGACAGTGAAAGGACTCCAAAAGAAAGAGGAGGCTCTGAAGAAGGAGGCCCGAAAGCTTCAGCGACAGCAGAAGGCAGCGGAGCAAAAGCTCTCGCTCTAGAGAAGAGGAAGCAATGAGAGGCGGAAATTGGGAGAAAACGACGGATGACGGAGGCCGTGAAGCAAAATAAGGAGATAAATTGGCATTATTAACAAGAGCTGAAGATTTTGAAAGTGGAAAAGCCACAGAAAATGCAGAATGAGCGACGGGTGGCTTCTGAGGGTCGCGAGAGGAGTCAGGATGTTCACGCTGCAAAATTGTCACTCTTCCGTTCACACCAGAGCGGGCCATAGCATTGCAGGTACCAAACACACTATATAATAACGCAAATAATAAGGCAATGATAGCTTCAAACGACATATCCTGTCCTCAAAGGCCTCTTTAGCTGTTGATAGTGATCGGGAGGCAATGGGTGCATTTCGGGGACTTGCGCGATCGGAGAGTAACAGAAGACGACCTCGATGGCTGGATGACTTCAAAAAGATTGAGTGGCATCTTTGAGCATTATTAACTGCTCTTATAAGATTTTAGAACAATTCAAATAGTATTCGTGAAGTTATTCTCAGTTCTTTGCTGGAATGCAATGAGCCCAAAATCCGGCGAATCGCCAGATCCGGCAGATCACCGGAAAATCCCTTATCTGGTAATGCCATTTGGACTCACAAATGCACCAGCTACCTTCCAACGGATGATCAACAATGTCCTACGCGAACACTTGGACATCTTTGTGGTAGTATACCTGGATGATATCCTAATCTTCTCGGACACCCTAGAAGAACACAAGGAACACGTCCACAAGGTACTCCGCGCACTTCAGAATGCGAAGTTACTGGTTGAACCAGAAAATCACACAGGAAGTAGATTTCCTCGGACACACGATCTCACCAGGAGAGATACGAATGCAACAAGACAAGATCAACTCAGTCAAAGAATGGCCAACGCCAAAGAACGTCAAGGACGTACAAAGTTTCCTAGGATTTGCGAATTACTACCGACGATTCATCAAAGATTTCGGAAAGATTGCAACACCACTACACGACTTAACGAAGAAGGAAAAAGAGTTTACATGGGACGACAAAGCCAACGAAGCTTTCGAATGCATCAAAACGACGATTACGCAAGAACCGGTCTTAACCACCTTCGATCCAGAACGACAAATCGAACTCGAAACCGATGCATCAGACTTTGCTCTAGGAGCACAAATCGGACAGAAGGACGATGAAGGAAGACTACGACCAATTGCATTCTACTCGAAAAAGCTACATGGCGCAGAACTCAATTACCCCATCTACGACAAAGAATTCCTCGCAATCATTCAAGCTTTTAAATTTCGACACTACCTTCTCGGAAGCAAACACAAAATCAAGGTCTACACAGATCACAAAACATCTCACATTTCGCGACGACGCAACAATTGAACGGACGACAGATCCGATGGGCCGAATGTCTATCAGAATTCGACTACGAAATAATCCACAGAAAAGGAACAGAAAACGGTCGAGCTGATGCCCTCAGCCGACGATCCGACTACGACACAGGAGCACCTATTGTGAAAGGACAACTCCTTGAGCTCAACAATGAAGGGAATATGCAACAACGACAGCTTAACGCAATCTTCAAGGTCAATCCAGACGAAGGCCTTACGAAGAAGATCCAACAAGCCTACGATAAGGTTGATTGGGAACCACTTCCAGTTGTTTGGGAAGATGGCCTGGCAAAGCATCAAGGAAAGATCTTTGTACCAGAAGAACTTCAGGACGAAGTTATACGCGAAATTCACGAACACCCGACACACGGACACCAAGGAATCCGGAGGACGATGGAAAGAATTCGACGAATCTACGACTTTCCACGGATGAAGAAACGAATCAGCGAAACTATCAGAAAATGCGAACTTTGCGCACGAAGCAAAGCTGAACGACACAAGCCATACGGAGAATTGCAACCGTTACCAGTACCAAAGAAACCATGGGACTCGATAGCTTTCGACCATATCACAAAGCTACCACCGTCAAAAGAACCCATGACCAACGTCAAGTACGACAGCATATTCGTCATTACCGACAGATTGACGAAGTACGGATACTTCTTACCGTACAAAGAAGCAAGCAACGCAGAAGAGCTAGCATATGTGTTCCTACGAACTATTGTCAGCAATCACGGACTACCGAACGAGATTGTCTCTGACAGAGGAAGCACATTTGTGGCCAAGTTTTGGCAAGCTCTCATGGCACAATTAGGAACGAAACATAAGCTCAGCACAGCTTATCACCCACAAACAGATGGACAAACAGAACGACTCAACCAAACGCTTGAACAATATTTACGATGCTACATCAGCTACGAACAAAACGATTGGGTTAAATGGCTACCGACGGCACAACTAGCTTACAACAGCTCAGTCACAGAGACAACCAAGCTCTCACCAGCATACGCCAATTACGGATACAACCCAGAAGCATTCAAGGTCACTCGACAAGGACCACAAGCGGAACGAGCGATACTGCAAGCAGATCAGCTACGAAAATTGCATAAAGAAATGCAACAAGAACTTCAATTCGTCAGAGAACGAATGTCCACTCACTACAATCGGAAAAGATTGCAGGGACCAATCTTTCAAGAGGAGACATGGTCTACCTCGTACGACGAAACATCAAAACAAAACGACCAAGCAACAAATTGGATTTCAAGAAACTTGGACCGTTCAAAGTCAAGAAAACCATTTCAAAAGTCAACTACGAACTTTCGCTACCAACAACAATGCGGATACACCCGATATTTCATATCTCATTATTGGAACCAGCACCACGAAACGCCAAACCACAGGAAAAATCGAAGTCGACGACGATCAAGAATACGAAGCAGAACAAATACTGGACACAAGAAAACAAGGTCAGCAACAGGAATACCTTGTAAAATGGAAAGGATACGGACCTGAGGAAAACACATGGGAACCCACCAAGCACCTGACCCATTGTGGTTCGCTTCTCCGACAATTCAATCAACAAAGATCAACCTCCTGACGAAATGGGATTTTCCGGCGCCGACGAATCCCGAGCAACCCAAATTGGGCTAAGACAGAAGGAGACAACGACACCTGGGAGTACAAGGAATCCCAATCCTCGACGAAGTCCGAGGGTAACCGATCGTCGTGAGGGGAAGGCGGCCGCGCCTCCTCCACTCGTTGCCGCTCCTTCTCCGCCTCTTCTTTCTCGACACGTTCCAGCTCCTCAACGTTATCGATCCCACGGGAGACCGCCCGCATCATCTTTTCAAACCATAATTTCTTTTGTTTTCGAAGGCGCAGAACCTTTTCCTCGGCCTCCTCAAGCTCGCGTTCGAGCTTGATGTGTTGATTTGCAATATTTCGAAGCTGTGCCGGCGATACCCCTTGGACGTCGCAGCGGGGAAGGTGAAGGCGCACGCATTCGACACAGCGATCAGAATCCGAAGACGACACCTGGCATTCCCGGAGTCCGCGACGCTCGCAAGCCGAGCAAGAAGGCATCGTAAGAATGTCGGGATTCGAAAGGATCGTGGAAAGCAGGACACCACAACGGATGGACGACGAGGCCTTGGCCCTTTTCTTGGAAACACGGTCAGACGGCATGACGGACCATGATGAAGGAAGAAGAAAGAACGGCACACACTCACGCAGGAAATGACCAGGATATGCGACACGGCGGCTAAAGCAGGTCTTGAGGGCAAGACCAAGGGAGGGGGAGACCTGATGTTACGACCCGACCAACGGATGTTACGACCCGACCAACGGATGGCCATGACACGGGGGGAGCCAATAGAGGCGCGGACCCCCGCGCCTTTAAAGTCGGCGTGACACGGGCCAGGGATGACTAACCGCTGAAGGATCACGTGACCATGCGAAAGGTGATCGGTGGATCGCCTTACGATCAAGCGAGCGGTGCTCGACGGATCGTTCATCGATCAAGGTGATCACCTCTGTGATCACCTCCAGCACCTCGCGATCAGAGACGGGCAGTTGGGTATATATAGCTGCCCCATTTCACTCCTTTAGACTAGATAGCTCTTTAGCTTTCAACACAATCATTACGATCCCTATCACGATCTCATCTCTGATTCCGATCACTTGATTACCTGGTTACAGTCTACGGTCTACGACCTCCGACTCATCACCAACGTGACATACTTATCATTGCTCAGACCACGCCCTGTTGTATCTGCCAACATAAACCCCTCGACAGGTTTATCCCTTGGGAATATCACCGGTCGTCACACTTACGTACTTACCGTAGTTAGTAGGTATAATTATAGGGATAAGTAGCTCCTATAAAGCTAGCGTAATCGAATTCTATAGCTATATAAGCTTCGCGCTATCTTCCTATACTATAGTCCCCGCTACCCGTAAGAGCGTCTCTTTAAAATTAGGGAGAAATTCGCTAAAGGTTTATCCGTCTCTCTACTTAAGGGTCTATAGCCTATCTTACGCCTTCTCCCGCTCCTATACGTTGCCGAACGTATATATAAGGTATTAAAAGAAGTCTTATAGGTCGCGTCTACCCCTAGGGCCGCCCTTATCCTAGAATCTAAAGATCCGCTATATCTAGGGCTCTAGCAGCGTATAGAGGAGCAAATACTACGCTATATCGCGATAGCTATTTAGGCCCTATTTCTCGTCGGTTATAAACTTCGTCTATAGCCGGCTAAGGAAGAAGTAAAAGGACTCCGGCTTGCCGTCCTAAGTCGGCTAAAGGAGCGGCTTCCTCGTCGGTAGTATCGCCGCCGTAACTAGCGTTATAGAGGCCGTAGGGGTTAAAGCCGGTCTCGTAGACGGCTCCCTTAGTATAGCGAGAACCTCGTCCTTCTCGCTAGCCGTCGGGCTTTTAATCGCTTCTAGGATAGCTACGATACTTCCTATCTATCCGGGGAGGGGCGGAGTGCTTCCTCGAGGGGGAGGCGCCCTCTCCGGAGAGATATCTATTAGATCTATTAATTAATAGCTTATACTATCACGGAGTAGGCAGAGGCGTGCGCGTAGGTGCCGTCCGTAGAATAATATTAATAAGCTATGCAGAGCTCTCCTATGCGCGGCTGGCCCGTATATATACGTACGGGATCCGGCCCTCCGTACGTAACTACACGGCTTAGGCCGTAGCCTAAGCCTATAACCTATAATAGTTAAAGACTCTTATAGTATCGCTACTAAACTAAGATCTTAATTCTAAAGCTCTTTCCTTTCGTAAAGGAATATAAGAAGGATCTTCCTAGGATAATTATATAAGAAGATAAAGCTCCGGCTTATAACTACTATATCTAGTAGTAGGTATACGACTTATATAAAGTCCGGCGCCTTCTTTAGTATAGTAATTCGCCTAATCTTAATACTATTAAGCCTTGCTGGCCTTGGCTAAACAGAACTACTACGAAAAAAGGCGCCCCGAAAAGCCGGGCTAAAGCTATTTCTGCTTAGGAGGCAGCTTAGAAAGAGCTTCCGTAAGAGAAAATATAAGGCTAGATTAAGCGAATTCCTCGGCATATGCAGAAAATCATTAAATTAAAAGGCGGCAATGAGTATCGAGAGGGAAGGAGGGATAGTACCGGTATTAGCAGGGAATACTTCGTAGAGCCATAGAAATTTGGTACGTTCTTCCTTTTTCTTAACAGGGGTTATTTTAGCGTCAGCAACGACTATTGAAAGCTTCCTCCGTATCTTCAAGGGCCAATGCATTAACACTGCTCGCGTCCGACACTACAGGCGTTGAAACGCCCCTCCAAGGAGAGTGCGGGGCAAGCAGAGCCTAGGCACGTCACCATGGCAGGCGTCATCATCGCTACCGCCATAAGCCACCTACAAACGAACTGGCATGATTGTAAAGCTGCATCTGGAAATGCATGTGACGATAGCAGAGCAATTAGGCGTGGCACATGTGTCTTCATTCATTCAAGATAAACCCCTTCATCGTCGCTGCTTCCTGCTCCGCGCACCCTTGGAGCTGCCACGGCGCTTTTCCCGCCCATGTCCGTTGCAGTCATGCAGGTTCCCCCTTGCCTGCCTCCGCTGCCCAATGGAGCTTTCGTCTAGGTCACTGTAGAGTGTAGATAACAAACAGCCTGGAATAAACGCCCGACAAGAGACCGTGCCGCCCCAAACGCCTTGCAATCGAAACGAGCCATTTCGTCGAATGGAGAGTGGCATTAAGAGCCAGAAACAACATCAGGAACTTGAATCCTCGAAAAGGGGCAAACAAAGACAAATCCAAGAAAGAGGGTCAAATGACGCCGGGAAAAGACAAATAGGCGTTACGCGGCGGCCATCTCAATGTTCTTGCCCTTGATGCTCTTCCACTCCACCATGACGGCGCCAAATATGGCCGCCGACGCCGTGGCCGTCGACACGAGGAAGCAGTTGGACAGGGCGCTGTTGTAGGCGTGCACGACGCCGCCGAGATCCTGCGTGGCAATAGCCTTGCGGATTCCCGTGGCGCCCGCCGACACCACCACCTGGGGGTCGACGTGGGGCACGTATTCGGCCAGGAAAGCGACGAGGCGGTTGGAGAAGACGGTGTTGCCGGCTGTCACAAACAGCGCACCGCCCAGGGCCTGCGCAAAGATGATGAGGGCCGTGCCCGTTGGCACGTCGGCGATGTCGAGCACCACCTGCACCGCCGTCAGGGGCTGCTGCATGCCGATGCCCACGCCCGCACCGGCAATAATCTGGAACCCGATCCACGCTGCCGGGCCCGAGTTGACGTTGAGCGTCGTCATAAGGCCGTAGCCGATGGGCATTAGGATGGCCGCCCCGATGATAAAGGGCGTGTAGTAGCCCCACGAGGTCACGACGATGCCCGACGCCACGGTGAACAAGACGACGCTCAGCAGCATGGGAATGTTCATGATGCCCGACGACACGGCCGATGCGCCCTTGACGGCCTGGAACCAGAATGGCAGAAAGTACATGGCCAGCAGGAAGCAGGCGCCAATAAAGAACTCGAAAATGGTCGACGACCACACCGTCCGCTTCCTGATGATGCGCGGCGGCACCGTCGCCCGGTCCCCCATGCGGTGCTGCACGTAGATGAAGACGGGGATCAGGAAGCCGCTCAGCAGCAGCAGCGACGTCACTCGCGAGCTGTCCCACGGGTACTGCGAGCCGCCCCAGTGCAGCGCCAGCAGGAGGCAGATGATGGCGGGCATGAAAGTGATGGTGCCCAGGGGATCAAGCTGCCAGAAAATGTCTTTCCACGTCCGCGGCTCCTTCTTGCGCTGGGGGTCAGGGAAGAAGAAAAAGATGACGACAACGGAGACGAAGCCCACAGGCAAGTTGATGTAGAAGCACCACCGCCAGGTCAGCCGGTCCGTGAAGAGACCGCCGAGCAGCGGGCCGGCGACAGACGATATGCCCCACATGCTGCCGATGAGGCCGCTGTACAGCGGCCTCTTCCCCAGCGGCACCGTATAAGCCAGGATTGTTAGGGCCCCGGCGAAGATGCCGGCGGAGCCGACTCCAGCCACGGCTCTCCCGATGATGAGCACCACGCTGCTCGGGGCGATGGCGCAGACGAGACTGCCCACTTCAAAGAGGCCGATGACGGACAGAAAGACAATCTTTATGCTCCAAAAGGTGTAAAACTTGCCAAAGAGCAGCTGAAAGGAGGACCCCGTGAGCATATAGGCAGAGCCATACCAGCCGACGTCGTTGAGGCTGCGGAACTCATCCGTGATGCGCGGAAGAGCAGTCGCAATAATGGAGTTGTCTAGAGTAGACGTGTAAGTGGCAGCTCAACAGCCAGGGCCAGGGGCAGCGGCTTACCGAGAGCCATGAGGAAGACGGAAAAGCACAAGGCGGTGATGATGAGGGCCAGCTTGAGCCCGGTTGCGTACTCTTGGCCGTCCTCGCGCGTGGTTGAAGGCTGGTTGGCCATGTTGCCGCCGTCCGAGCCGGACCCAGGAAAAAGCTGCAGCTTCTCCCGGCTCTCGGTGGCAGCCGGGTCGGGCCCCAAAGGGCGCATGGCATCGTATGGCACGCCGCCGAGTATGATGCTGGTGCGCACTGGCTGGCTGGTCCTGACAACGGCTCTGTCGACAAACTTGAGGCTGGACATGGTGCTGGGGGTGGGGGCCGTCGTCGGCGGGTGGGTGCTTTCGTCGTCGGAGAGCCAAGTCGAGATGTTGCGAGCCATGTGATGAGCCTCGAGATCGCCTAGAAAGTAGCGCGACGACGTGGCCAGAGACGAGGTGAGCGTGTCCTCGGGCAGGTGGACGCTGAGGCGGGCCAGCTCTGCGTCAGACTGCGGCCGTTTCGGATCCATGGCCGCCAAGGTTGGATTCTCAGGGCACAGGAGGTTTGATATGGCAGGATGACATCAGCTCGTGGGTGTAGATCCAGATCTCGCTCGTCTGGCGGTCCGGGGTGCAGGTTTATATATATCAAGAGACGGAGCCTCGCGCCATGCGGACGGGAAGCGACGGTGAGACGTCAGCCTCCGGAGCAACAGGGTGCGGAGGGCGGAGGGCCATGGGCAGGGTTCCGCCTCGCGAAGGGTGCGAGAGCGAGGCCGTCATCAATCAGCCCGGCCATGTGCTCTGCGGCAAGCTACAAGGGGCCCCGGTTTGGTGGGCAAGCGGACCAACGAGGCGACGTCAGCGGAGCATGGGTGGTGTCTTTTCACGAGGGCGAGCCTGAAGAAGAACAGGAGGCCAGCAGAGTTCGGAAACGTCCATTCGTCCGAGGACCTGCTCGCTCTCTGGGCCCAGGTCGCTTTGAGGGGGGCATCCTATCGAGAGCAGCTGAACCAGCTTGATCCTGATAGTTGCCTACGGCAGTTGCGTGGGTAGACAGACACTTGTCATTGCTGCACGTATGGCTGCACAGAAGAGACACGTCCTGGGAGCGGTGGGTGGTCGCCGACCGCTGCTTCGTCTCTCGCTGCTTCGTCCTCTCGCTCGGTGCCGTGGTTCGCGCAGCGAGCACGTGACCAGGCCGGATAGCGGCCCGGCTCCAACAGATACCCGGAGCTAGGTACGTACAGGAGGTACCTTTCGCACCACAGCCTACCGGGTACCTACCTTAACCTTACTGTCAGCTGCCACCAGCACCTCCATGGCATATACGGTCCACTTCCAGGTCATCTGTTAGAGTGTCACTTCACATTTGCCTGCACAACCTAGTGGTTTCCTCACACTTACCTACTGTATGTAGGTAAGGTACGTAGCTGCAAGCAACACCAACCCCCGCTGATCAAGACTCCAAGGTTATTAATTAATTAATTAGACCTTTCTGGCTGCACTATAACTACGGAGCATGCATCCATGCCCCCCAACGCATGAGACATGTATGTTGTACATAGCCTTTCCCCCGTCACTCGCCCCCCCCCCCTCCCCCAATCGGCCGCGCCCAGCATATCCTGTTCCGCCGACTGCCGCCTGGCCTCGGAGGACACCCAGCAGCGGCTCGGAGGTTTTGCGAATGACATCACTCCTCTCCCTGGTCTTCCGGAGGGAACCGGCCGTATGGCAATGGTTTGCATCCCTCTGCCTAAACTCTCTCGCCTCTTTGGCGTCAGCCCAGCTGGTTCCACCCCTTGGCTTCTTCACCTGAATCTCGCTCAACATCGCCCTCACCCCCAGCCGGCCTTGGGCCACTCTTCAACTGTCCGAATCCCTGAGGAAGCTGGCCAGGTGGCAACTTTTGCATCCCTCCCACGTGCTTCTCACACCCAGATGTGCGATGGAGATTCCATTCCTGCTCTAGCCTGTCACGTCTCTTCTATCATGCTGCATCTCCATCTATGCAATGTGCGTCGTACTTCGCATCTACCGATAAGTCATATCACTAGCTGTGTTACCCTCGACTGTCGCATCTCCTCCAATGCTGACTCGACTCCAAACGTATGCGTCTCGAAACAGAATTAGACGGGCTCGTTTCCTGTGATTCCTCAACCATTGATACCTCCCTCTCATAAAACATGCGTGATTGCTCCCCGCCAATGCTGCCACCCTGAATACTCTACCAGGGCGGCTGGCACTGTTCCCAACCAGCTAATCCTAGGGCACAGGTGTCAACATTCAAAGGGCGACCGTGCTGCCATCACACAGTCTCTTTGGCCGGCACTTCATTGGTGAACGGAGTCAGGCGTACTCTGGGACTGCCGCGGCGCGGCTCGTCCTCCTCATCGATCGCCCTCACCGACGCCGGGGTGTAGTTTCGAATTCGTTTCGTGCCCTTTTCCGCCGTGATAACGCCAGCACCTCCCACAGCCGCATCTTTTACGTCCACCATGTTGCTGCCTGGGCCGGGTTCGCTGTCCGAGGAACGGCCTTGCTGGGACTGCTCCGGGCCTGGGAGATCCTGATCTTGAGGACTATTGACTTGAGAGTTCACCGTGCAGACAGGTACGCTGGCGCCAGGAGGTATATACATCTGCTGTGAGACCCGGCGCATCTCCTGGTGGTCTTGGCCAAAGGTCGAGGCGGCCGACGGAGACGGTCCAGCTGGCTGTTGGCGGCGGTTCTCTTTGCGGGACCTCACCTCACTCGCAGGCGCATGGAAGTTGGGCTGCTGAAAATGCAGAGGCATCGGCTGGTTAAGCAGCGAGTTGGTCAACGAGTGGGCTAGGTCGGACGGTATCGATGAGTTGTGGGAGACGATAGCAAAGGGAGTTCCTGTTGGCCTCGTCAGCTTCAAGCGCTCATAGGCCCGGGGGCACCGTCCAGCACCGTCTTGCTCATGGCTGGCCTGTCCGCTCGTCGTCGGCGTATTGGTGGGGACCCTCATATGGCCGGAAGTGTCGTCCTCTTCCTGCCGCATGCTTGGCATGAAAGGCGCCCGGTCTGCCGACGGGGCCAGCTGGTCGCCAGATTCCAAGGGTGTGTAATCCGGCATACTGATATCTGTGCTCGCCCGTCGCATCATTCGCTGCTGAGGGTTTCCCTGGTTTTCCACTCGATTCGCATCGTTGACCCCCATGCCGATGCCGCTCAACCACTCAAAGTATGAATTTGCATCCCCAAAGGGATCAGCCACGATGCTCTTGGCCTGGGAGAGAGTGCCAAAAGCGGGATGGGTGACGCGTCGCATCCCGGAGCTCGTTGAAGGCTTGCCCATCACTCCTTGTATGCCTGGAATAGGGTAGCCTGAGGCATTGCCTTGCACGGCGTCGGTGAGGCGTCGCGGAGAATGAGCGTGCGAGTCCGGGTCGTCGGACGGGTACGAAGGGACAGGCATCGACGAGGCAAAGGGGGCTCGACGCCACATGGAAGGGTTTGGCCATGCGATGCACGAGCTTTCCAGGATATCTGGGCCAGCCATCAGCCACGGAACCAAGCAGCAAGCACGGAGGAGGTAGCACGCACCCAGCGGCGCATGCTGGAATGAAAAGGAAACAATGTTCTTGACTCTCTCGATGGGCATGGTGAGCGAGTCCCGTGGGAAACCCTCGCTGATGACCAACTTGATGCGGCCCAAATCATCGGCAGGGCTCCAGAAACTCTGCTGAAGCAATTCTCGTCGAAACGGGGGAAACAAGAGGCAGTCCAGATCTCCACCCTTGGGAAAGTCTGCTCAGACAGGTCAGCCAGGGCCGGAACATGCACAGCATCATGGAGAGCTGGGACCAACTGAAGCTATGGGCGATAATATGTGGCCAGGCAGTCATCTGGTCCAAGGCCGTGGAGCTACACAAAGTCAGCTGACAGAGGCTCTCACGACAACTCGGGTATTTTAACACACGCAACCAGTCTACCGTCGATGAATAGTCTCGCTTCGAATTTGACCGTGTCGGTATACTTGCTGTAAGACTTTGTGTACTGGCTCACAGTTGGGCCGAACCACGAATGGATCGAGACCTGGAAAGGAGTTCCAGATGCCAGGCTCGGGACAAAACAGCAGACGGTCGGCAGCCCGATGGAGCCGTGGGTATGAGAGAACTCTGGGCGAGAGGGCGATTAGCGCTTCAAGACGTTCAGCGACGGGCGGCCGACGTACCAGCATCGTGAACGACATGGCAGGCCACTTTGAACTCTTTCATGGGCGTCTTGCAGTCTCTGGGGAAGAGCAGAATGTCCCAGTCGTCGAATCGCATCGTGGGCAGTAGCGCAGCTGTTGACGACTCAGAAGACGTTGGGGGCGCAAGGTCACAGACTCGATGCTGGTGGCGCCAGTGGCCGAGGCGATGCCGTCGAAAAGGAGGCGGAGAATTGCCTGAACGGGGCCAGGGCTGGGAGTCTTGGACGACGAGTTTCTGGGCAGTGTTGGTCAAGGCAAATAGCTGCCGCCGCTCGAGGATATGACGGTGTCAGGATGGCGCACAATCCGAACGAGAAAGTCAACCGCAACTGCACGAGTCGCTCAGACAAGATGCTGGCGACTGGCTCAAGTGGTGGAGCGTCAGTGGCCGAGAGGGAGAAGAGCTTGGAGCCGGAATGCGAGTACCTTTGTTCCGGTGAGTAAGGTAGGTAATGGCTGTGTTCGGACCGGGACCTCTATCACTGCCTTGCCGCCTTTGGATGCGTCAACAATACCTGCTCTGCCGAGCTTGTGCTCAAGCAAGGCAAGGGAGTTGCTTCGTACTAGAAGGGCTCGGCCGAGGCGACAAGGCGCGATGCGGATGGGACTGTCTGGCGGAGGCTCTCGCCCAAAAGCAGCTCCTGCCGCTAAGCGCAAGATTAGCCAGCCAAACTCGGCCATGGCAAGCGAGAGTGTCGGCCAAAGAGCAGGTTCTGGCTCTGCGTTGCTTGGGGAACCACCGGATACCCGAGAGCAGGGTGTTCCTGAGCTCACCGACACACCCGTCAAGGGGCCAGGAGCCGTCAACGCCGTCGAGTCTATGCGAAGGCAAGCGAGCAGAGGCCATGAAGAACGGAGCATCCATGACACAAAGTCTACAACAAGGACACCTCAGGCATTTCATCTTGACTGCCAATACTTGATTCCGCGGCCCCGTATATGTACAAATAAAGGCTCCCAGTGTGGTTCTACGGGTCCTCGTCGCCAGCCATCCGTGCCTGCAATTCCGTCGTTAGCCATGCCCACATCTTGTCACAGGGGACATTGCATCGACCTACCCTCACGGCGCCAGGGCCACCCAGTTCCCGCTCCAACCCGCCTTCAAATTCCCTTGGGTACGTCTGCTTGTCGGGGTAGTTGAGGTAGACGACTCCAGACACGCCCAGAAAGACGGCGATGAAGCTGCCAATCATGATCAAGCCCGGGCCAGTCGACGTCCAAGTGTACTGGTGCGGCGAGAAGATGCCGAGCACATCGTTGTCCTCGTGAACCGGCTCGCCAAAGTTCCTCCGCTCCTGCGGGTCCCACCAGTCGGCATAAGGGTCGCGGAACTGGCGCTTGATGCGTGGCGGGTTAATGTAGCCGCCGTTCTGCCATGCTGCCCGTCAGTCTCGTCCGCCATGGGAGCCGTGAGGACTGACCATGCCAGGGTCCTCGGCCTCGCTCAGCTGTTGACGGTCGGGGTACTTTTCGTCAAGCACCTTTCTGTCCGAGTACTGAGGCGGTAGGAAGCCTCGTCGTTGCGTCGTCGGTACGAGTCGAGCCGCCGAGAGACGGCTGCGCAGGGCCCGCGCCCGCGCAAGTCGCTGGAGAGACATCTGCCGACGGGCAGTCAGCGGTGACGGAGCTTGGTGCATGTGATCTTGAGCCACTGGGACTTACTGTGGGCATCTGGGCGGATTCGTCGGCGCCCAATTGCGCGGTGAAGCTGGGCGGTTCTCAAGCAGAAGCTTGCTTGCCAACACCAAGGCGAGGTTGTGATGGCATGGAGCACTCGGGAGGTACGGTACCTTGTACTTTATGCCTACTACCCTAGGACCTTATTAGGTACCTAGGTAGGTAGGTAGGTGGTCCTGTATCAGCCTGTTGCCTCGTAATTCAGGCCCAAATTTCAAGCGCGGACGAAACATGCGAGCTCCAGCGAGTGGCAGATTACCTAAGTGAGTAGTACAGCAGCCAGAAGTTCTTGTGAGCATCCCGGAGGACGTGCTACTTGATCCCGGCCGTCTTTGTTCGCAGCACGCAGGTACATTTCAAAGTACGAGGAAGCCAGTACTTGCGGCTCTCGTACCGTGTGCAATGTTGATTACCGCTCCGGTCCAGCTCTCTGAGGCTCCTGAACAACTGGCAGGCCAGCGTCACCCACTCGACGGACCCATGTCACTCGCCCGTCGTCTTCCAAATTCTCTTGGTCCCAAAAGGTTTGCTGACGACACGGATTCTGCGCGCAAAACTCGACGTCGGCGCCGCCACGGCCCTCTGATCATGCGCAGACTTCATCTGCATACTTGCTGAAGCGCTACGAATCTGTAGAATCTAATTTTTGCCCTGCAAATGTTGGCCTCGCGGAGCTCACGCCCCCCCTTGGTCCTCGAGCTCTTCCCTGCAAAACGATGCCCGACATCGTGTCGCCGACAAACCTGCCGGCCACCGTGGACCCCTCGACCCCCTACACGGCCAGTGACGAGCTCTCTCCGCCCCCAGACACCTCCGCATCCTCCCGGGCGCCATCAGAGGATGGCAATATCCACCCCTCGCCCGGCCAACGCGTCAACCCCGACGCGACCCCCCATACGAACGGCCATGGGCCCCCAGACGTTAACGGTGGCGATGGCGATAGCAGCGGCCACGACAACGACGAAAGCGACCGAAGACCTTCCAAGCGGCGGAGAACAAGGGACACAACGCCCCTTTCTACATCTCGCAAGCCCAAGTTTGAGTCACCGCCATGGAAGAAGATTGAGGCCGAGGGACCCACGTCCTTTACCGAGAACGGACGGCGCAAGTCGGGTCGTATCAACGCCTTGTCCGTCGAGCCCCCGCCTCCGTCTAAGAAACGGCCTGCGAGGCATTCTCTGAACGGTTCCGTCGCCAGCACGCCCAAAAAGAACGGACTGCCTGCCTGTGCCAACGGTCCCAGGTCCGCCAACGGCAGAGAAAGACCCCAGTCCGCCCGCAAGGTAGTTTCGACGCCCAAGCCCGCCATCAAGAAGCCGGCTCCGCCATCCCGATCCTCTTCCCGCTCCGTGCGTCGTCAAACCCCCTCGCCGCGACCTCAACCGACGCGGCATTCGACGCGACCCCGGCGTGCCGCACGCCTCGCCGACAACCCCGAGTCCAGAAACCTTATAGAGCCCTCCCACGAGCTTCGACAAACCCAGCACGATGACGACAATCAGTCACCACGCATCAGACTACGGGTCGGCCGCCCGGGCATCATTCCGCTGGTGCATCCTGACCAAGTCCGAAAGCGACCAAAAATCGGCACGTCCTTTGCGGATTTCTGGGAACGTGGCGGCAAGATTCCGGTGGAAGAAGGCGGGCTCCTAGCATCAGAGGACGGACCATCGTATACTGACGAGATGGCGCAAAGAGACGCTCGGTGGATTCTGCGAATTGAGCAAGAAGCGGAGCCTGGAGGGCTGCTGTCGCAAGACCGATGCTCGCTGTTCACCCCCGAAGGAGAAGAGGAGCCGCCTCGGCAGTGGGCGCGGCAAGATCACATGGTTCGGGCCATGGCAAACTTCCGCAAGCTCCTCCTCGCGGAGCAACAAAGACACCGGGCGACGGCCAAGAAACTTGCCGAGGCCTGTCGCGACGAGTGGCTCCGGCGCCAGCCAAAATCGGCTGAGGAGATTGAGGCTGAGGAAAGAGAAAAATGGACCATTCGATATCGGTTGGTCGCCCGGGCCATTTGCGGTACTTGGGAGAATGTCCGAACCCAGGTCAACAGGCAGCGCTTGGAGCAGTGGGAGGCCGAGGAACAAAAGCGAGTCAAGGCCGCGCTCAACGAGGCTGTCAGCCTGTCTGAGCAGAAGCTACAGGCGCGTCGTGGAGGGCTAGACTCGGAAGTTCCGTCCGACGGCGATGGCTTCGACGACCTGAGCGACGATATCAGCGTGGTCGGGGGCGATGATGAGGAACCTGGGCCGGTCTCCGGAGAAAGTGACGAGGGCGGGGTTGTCGAGGACAGCGACTACATGTCCTCCTCGGATGGCGATGACGGCGATGACGACGACGAGGGTGGCTTGAGAGGCGCAGCCGATGAAGAGCTCACCCAAGAGCAGTTGCGGTCCAAGTATGCACATCTCCCCGACCTGGAGCAGGACACGGACGATGTCGAGGACGACGACTTGTCAAGCCCTGGCGCCGCCGCCGAGAAACCAGACGCCGAATCTGCCGACGACGCAAGCGACGAGTCGGTAGACATGGACGACGACCTCGGGTCGAGCGACTCGGATAGCGGCAGTGCCATAGACAACGAGTCTGACGCAAGCGATGGTGACGAGCCTGGAGATGGGGCAGGCGGCCTGCTGGGGCTCTTCTTTGGCAAATCGGAACTAGAACAGATGAAGGCTGAGGCCGCAAATGATACGGATCAGCTTCACGAGAGTGATACCGTGATGCTCGACGCAGATGGTCCCGGCACCACCAAGGGACTTGCATCGGACGCTGGCGCGCCTGCCAGCGACGGCTACGAGGATGACGACGATAGAATGTCATTGGTTCGGCACCCAGATTCCATCAACGGCGATGCCGCCGAGACCGAGCACGGCCCTGTTGTCGAATTGAGCCAAGATCAGGCACTCGAGCGTCCGGAGGATGCCTCGGCGAATGGTCATCGTGGGTACACCAAGCCTATCGAGGAGGTCACTGCAGATGGTGTCATACCTGATGCCGAGCCGAGTGAGACCCCTGATAATCTTGCAGTGGCACCTGCAAAGTCCGAAGTCAAAGTCCCCAGCGTCGACCAAGCTGCAAATTTACCGCCGGCCAATGAAGCAAAACCGATTGGCAGCCCCGAGACAGAGTCAGTTACAATACCAGCCAGCCGGGACCGCAGCCAGTCTCCGCCAACTTCGGAAACCAAGCCGTCAGAATTGGACGTTTCCTCGGCAGCGGACCGGGCCGCAGTCAATGAAGAGACCGACAGGTCATCTTCAACCCCGACACCAGCGCGCCACAAGACGGAGATCCCGTTCCTCCTCCGGGGCACCTTGCGAGAGTACCAGCACGACGGCCTCGACTGGCTCGCCGGCCTTTACGCCAATTCCACAAATGGTATCCTCGCAGACGAGATGGGACTGGGCAAGACGATCCAGACGATAGCTTTGCTCGCCCATTTGGCCTGCCATCACGAGGTCTGGGGCCCCCATCTGGTCGTCGTGCCGACGAGCGTGATGCTCAACTGGGAGATGGAGTTCAAGAAATGGTGTCCGGGGTTCAAGATCCTAGCCTACTACGGCTCGCAAGAGGAGCGGAAACGGAAGCGACAGGGATGGAACAACGACGATGTCTGGAATGTATGCATCACCTCCTATCAGCTCGTGCTCCAAGACCAGCAGGTTTTCAAGCGGCGACGGTGGCACTATATGATTCTCGACGAGGCGCACAACATCAAGAACTTCAAGTCTCAACGATGGCAGACCCTGCTAGGTTTCAACACGCATTCCCGTCTCCTTCTCACCGGGACGCCGTTGCAGAATAATCTCACCGAGCTATGGTCGTTGCTCTTCTTCCTGATGCCGGCGGAAAACGGTGTCGGCGGTTTCGCGGACCTGCAAGAGTTTCATGACTGGTTCCACAAGCCGGAGTCGCAAATCTTAGAGAGCGGCAGAGACCAGATGGATGACGAAGCCCGGGCAATCATCTCCAAGTTGCACAAGGTCCTGCGACCCTATCTTCTGCGCCGCCTCAAGGCCGACGTGGAGAAGCAAATGCCTGCCAAGTACGAGCATGTCGAGTTCTGCCGGCTCTCAAAGCGGCAACGCGAGCTCTACGATGGCTTCCTGTCCCGAAGCGACACCAAGGAGACGTTGGCCTCGGGCAACTACCTGTCCATCATCAACTGCCTGATGCAGCTGCGCAAGGTCTGCAATCACCCTGATCTGTTTGTCGACCGCCCTATCACGACGTCTTTCCGCATGAAGAAGTCTGTCGTTGCAGACTTTGAGTTTACAGAACGAAGCGTGCGCCGCTTGCTGCACCCAGGGGATCCCATGGGAGTGGTGAGCCTCAGCTTTCTGAACTTGATCCCGACCGAACACGAGCGCATTTCAAGCACGCAAGCCGAGCGCGTTGCCCAACTCAGCTCCCACCGGGTGTTGACGCATATGCGCGAGGCTCAGCGGACGCGGGCTCAAGCGGCCTACATGTACCTCGACCCTTCGACGGTGGAGTCGAGCATCGCGTACCTGGAAAGTGCGGCGCGTTGGGATCGGTTCGAGGAGTTGCAGCACTGCGTCTACCTCAATGCTCTCCGTCGCCAGCAGAGACCGATATATGGGAAGAACCTGGTCGACCTGGTTAGCGTCGACGCCCACACACATCCCTGCCGTCCCCGGCCGAGGGTGCCACAGAAAGTCATGGCATGGTTTGAGAACGACTCGACCTTTGTTCGTAGCATGATCCCAACCCTGGACGAGCGTGCAGACAGCTTCAAGACGAGAATTGAGAAATTCTCGTGTGTGACGCCGGCAGTGGTGACACGGGGTTTGGAGCGGGCTATGCTGGGTCGCAGAGGCGTCGAGGCGTTTACCGACGAGGACTTGAAACTGTCGGCGCCTGTCCGATGGGCTCCATTTCTTCCAAAGGAGGCACCCGTTGACCCGTGGCACGAGGCTCGCATGCGGCTCAGCATTCACTTCCCCGACAGGCGTCTACTCCAGTACGACTGTGGCAAGCTCCAAGTGCTGGACAAGCTGCTTCGCAAGCTGCAGGCTGGTGGGCACCGGGTTCTCATCTTCACGCAGATGACCAAGGTGTTGGACATTCTGGAACAGTTCCTCAACATCCACGGACACAAATACCTTCGCCTCGATGGCGCGACCAAGGTGGAGCAACGGCAAATCATGACGGACCGATTCAACAACGACTCGCGCATTCTCTGCTTCATCCTGTCGACGAGGTCGGGCGGGCTGGGCATCAACCTTACTGGCGCCGACACGGTCATTTTTTACGACCAGGATTGGAATCCTGCCATGGACAAGCAGTGTCAGGACCGGTGCCACCGAATCGGACAGACGCGCGACGTGCACATATACCGGCTCGTCAGTGAGCACACGATTGAAGCCAACATTCTGCGTAAAGCCTCGCAGAAGCAGATGCTCGACGACGTTGTCATTCAGGAAGGAGAGTTTACGACGGACTACTTCAACCGGCTCTCAGTCAGAGACGTTCTTGAAGAAAAGGCCGACTTTACGAGCGAAGGCGTGTCGGCGGCAGACGCGGCTTTGGACCGGGTGCTGGGTGGACCGGACAGCAGCGGCAACCAGGAGCGGCGCAACGTCGGTCGAGCGCTCGAGCAGGCGGAGGACCGAGAGGACGTGGCGGCTGCACGGGTGGCGGAGCGAGAAATCCAGGCAGACGACGCCGACTTTACCGAGAAGCCGAGCGGGCCGGCCTCTGGGGCGTCGACAACGCGCCAGGGGACGCCATCGGTCAAGTCGATAGACGGCGTGGACTTGGTGGAGGCGGAGGACGAAGCAGAAGTCAATGCGTGGGGCGACAAGATTGGCAACATTGACCAACACATGCTGAACGTCATGGCTGAGCAGCTCAAGGGGACCAAGCTGGAGTTGCCCAAGGACAAGAAGAAGGGAAAGAAGAAGGGCAAAGACACAAGAAAACGCTGATTGGCAGTTGGGATACGTGTATTATTATAGCACGGCATGCGTGGATCTGGGACAGGTGGGATTTCTGCGGGTCAGTCGACTCGGAATTGGAGTTTTGGGCGAGGTTCAGATGGGGGCATGGGCAACGGCGCAACGGTAGACGAATGTTGACAAAAGGGGGATCGGGTTGCTGCGTTGTGTGGTGAAGGCATATGAATTCGACTGCCACGGATGGGTTGAGTTGACGAGGCGAGAGCATGTGTTTTTTGGATGGCTTGGGGACTATGATTTGATATGGCATCGTCGTGCCGTTTGCTTGGCAGGGCAGATGGCCAGCTTTAGCGGCCACCCTATACATAGTGAAGCTGATTATCAGCTGAGATTCCAGTCGATTGGTGAATACATACAGGCACTACTATACTGCTGTATATGTTTAGTTGAGCGTCTGATGTCGAGCATGCAAGGTGAAGTCGGTATAGTTTGACCGGCACGGCGCCGGAAGCCGTTGTCAGGGCCGGGCAGCGAGTCGGCGGCCAGCTTGTGTCTTGAAAAACCTATCAACTCTCCCCTTTTACAGCATTTACGGGACGGAAGCGGGGGTGATTGGCCACCAAAGCATCGCTATAGAGTATATAAGCCCATTCTGTGCTGACTTGCATACGTACAGTACATCCGGGCGAGTTGAAGCCGGGATTCCAGGGGTAGAAGAAGCGGGCACAAGTGACATTCAAGTATTGCAGGGTACTACAGTTTGCGCACGACCCCGAGCACAGGCTCGGTGGAGTGCCAGGTACTTTGCTGTACGTGCCAGCATGTAAGTCGCGGTGGCTTTGCACATTGACGTGTTTTTGCATCACGCAAGACACCGGGACGAGGCTCCGACCACTTCGTACTAACCTGTCTTGGACACCTTATTGTACCGTACTGTATTAATGAAGAGTGAGACACCTCGATACAATACCTCGATCGGAACGTGTGCTGACTGGCTGATGACGAGATGACCTCGTGTGGCGCTGCGAGGCGGAGAACCTCGCGTCTACCTCGACGCTAGCGCAAATACACCACAGCTGCCGGTACTCTCGAGGTAGCCACTTTGCGCTGTACCGTTCAGTACCTCTTTTGGCTGGCGCCCTCTCTTTTTGACCAGCAGTGGGAAATTTCCCATGATACGTCTGTTCGTCCTCCAATCCTTTTTTTGGCCGCCTCCTCTTCCACCCCCCCTAGACGCCAGCTTTCATCTTTCTCCCCCCCTGGCAACACGGCTGTATGTACCTTGGCTCACAATCCACCCGCCTTGCTTCCATTCGCGAACCCGCCATCGGATGGCCCGCCCTCGAACCGCCGTCGCCAGCAGCATCAGCCTTGTTGGTGGTCCCTGAAGACTGACTCGACGCTGCTGCCGAGGCAGACGCCGACGCCCATGCGAGCACGCGACCGTCCCGCTTGTCCCGTCCATTGTCTAGACATCTGGCGGTGCGGCATCGCCTGCGCGCGCACGCCGCCGAGTGATGCAGCCGGCAAAGGGCAAGGCCGACGCACACGGACGCAAGGCAAAGGTCCTCCTCCATCATGCCACATCCTCGAGAGCCACCATGGCTGACAAAGGTACCAGCTTGCCAACTCGTATCAGCAACTCCTAGAGTACGCATTTCCCCCTTCTCGCTTTGACGCTGCGCCAACTGACCCTCTCGCAGCGAGTTTGCCAGCAACGACCTCCAGTCCGTCGGCAACTACACCCTCGGCCGCTTGATCGGAAAGGGTTCCTTTGGCAAAGTCTACCTGGCCACGCACAAACTCACCAATGGCTCAAAGGCAAGAGACGATGGCCTCGCACCGTTCCCCGAGTCTGCTGGCTGACCCCGGCCCCAGGTTGTTCTCAAATCCGCCCACAAGACGGATTCAAACCTCGCTCGCGAAATCCACCACCACCGGCAGTTCAAACATCCTCACATTGCGAGGCTATACGAGGTCATCGTCACAGAGACCCTGATATGGATGGTGCTGGAGTACTGTTCTGGTATGTCCCGTCGCGCCCCCCTAGTGCCTGGAAACTTGGCTCACTGCTCTATCCAGGCGATGAGCTCTACAACTACCTCCTCGAGCATGGCCCTCTCCCTGTCCACAAGGTTCAAAAAATCTTTGCCCAATTGGTCGGCGCCGTCTCCTACGTTCACATGCACTCGTGTGTCCACCGCGACCTCAAGCTCGAAAACATCCTCTTCGACAAGCACGAAAACGTCAAGCTCGTCGACTTTGGCTTCACCCGCGAATATGAGGGCAGGACCAATCACCTGCAGACGTTTTGCGGCACCATATGCTACGCAGCCCCAGAGATGCTCAGGGGCGAAAAGTATGCTGGCGAAAAGGTCGACGTCTGGAGCCTGGGCATCATCCTCTATGCCCTGCTCTGCGGAGAGCTGCCTTTTGACGAGGACGACGACGGCGTAACCCGCACCAGGATCCTCTCCGAGGAGCCAAAGTACCCCGATCACCTCCCCGCCGACGCCGTTCCTCTTCTCAAGGCCCTCCTCTCGAAGCGCCCCTTTCCTCGCCCCTCCTTGCAAGACATTCTTGCCCATCCGTTCCTCGCCGAGCATGCGACGGCGCAGCAAGCCATCCTCGGCGTCAAGGCTCCACCCCCCTTCTCCACCGCCCTAGAAAAGGACTGCCTGCAGAGGATGCGCAGCGCCGGCGTGGAAATCGACTCCATCGTCGACTCCGTCTCGGCCCAGAAATGTGATGCCCTGTCCGGCTGGTGGACACTCCTCTTGGAGAAGGAAGAGCGCAAGATGCGCAGGAGGGAAAAGAAGCGAAGAGAAAAGGACATGGACAGGAACCAGCGTCGGCTCTCGGCGGCCTCTAGCCGGCTCGAGCGCCTCGCGCCGACGCTGCAAGACGTCGATGAGGATGGCAGCCTGACGGGCCAGTTCGTCAGGTTCGGCGACCCGAGTGGACCGAGGAGCCGAGGACGGAGCGAGCGTCGGAGCGCACAGTTTTACAGCGATTCGGCTATACCTGATCTGCCACAGCTCCCAGAGGCCAACCAGGAAGGCGTCGACACGGACGCCGACGAGATGCCCCCTACGCCCATCGACAAAGACTCGATTCGCTCCGTCTCCACCTCCCGCCAACGGCGACCTATCCCGCCGCCCAAGGAAGGAGTCATACGCAGCGCGAGATCCCGGGGATCTACGCTGCATCTCGTCGCGACGTCCGAACCACTCGCCAAGAACGCCGGCACTAACGGCATGAACCCGCGCCATCCCCAAGACACTGCCGGACAACAAAAGACGAAGAAGAAGCCGAGCGAGGCCATCATCGCCCATTGGAAGCACTGGACGCACTGGTTCATTGAAAACACGAGGCGACGCAAGGGGCACGACCGGCGCATTAGCCGCAGCACACCCAACTTGCATCTCAAGGAGGCCGGCGGCAACGGCAACAAAGACGCGAGCCCCAGGCCGCAGACGAGCAAATACCCGACCTCGGGCTCTCCCGCGGCCCAGGCAAAGGCGCCGCTGCCCAAGGGAGTGGTGGCTAACGGTCACACGGCCCGAGGGCAAGCGGCCGCGCAGGGCGGCAACACCATCAGGGCCACCGCCTCGAGGTCGTCCCTCTCCACCCCCTCACACCAGCAGTCTCTGCGGCCCCGTATCACGACCTCGCAGTCATACAAGAGACAGTCGCTATCCCCCTCGCCCCTAACGCCGCGATCTACCGTACGGCGCTCCTCGACGGGCTTGCGGGGCAGGAAGTCGACGTCGTCGTCCGTCTCGTCTGTTCGCTCGATGCACCACCACCACCACTCCCACTCCAAGGCTTCGTCGACTAGCTCGGCGGGATCCGTCTCCACATGCAAGACACCACTGGGCCGGGGTCACTCACCGCACCACTCGGTCAAGGTGCTCCCCGCCACGCCAACGTCGAGCTCCTTTCCCTCCAACATTCGCCTCGTCCTCGGTTCGCCCGGACCAGCGCCTCGCCAGCTCTTCAATGAGGGGATGCCCGGCAACCAGCAGCAGACCCCCGGCTCGCCGAATCCCTTCACGTCTGGCGTGCTGTTTGCCAAGCGTAAGAAGAATCTTTTCAAGGGACCGACACTGAACTTCGGCACGGGGGGCAGCAGCAGCAGGCGCGCGAGTTCCGGTGCCCATTCTCGCAGCGGCAGCGGCTCGGCCCTGGGCCGCCGCTCCGGGGAGATTACTATTCAAGAAGAGGACGAGAACGCGATGGCGGAAGAACCCGAGTTGGAGTGCGAAGAGGTGGAAGTGTTCAACCCCATTGTCGGTGGGCCAGGGGAGACCATTGAGGAGCACGTCATCGAGGACGGGGAGCCAACGCTGGCTTTGAATGACGACGGCCCGGCTCTGCAGGCGGTTGGAGGCGCATCGGGGGCTGCTACCGGACCCCCGGACCCAGAAGCAGGCGATGCGGCACCTAAGACTTGATGGCCTGGGCCTCTCTTGCTACGTGAAGAGACAGGATAGGAGAAGGGGGGGGGGAAGAGGGGTGGAAGGAATATACCCGTCGATAATAGGCCACGGATGTTTATTGTAATCTATGTCTTGTTGTACCGAGTAGCTGTCACGGCTTTGCTTTGTCTTTTTTTCTAGTCCTTTTCGCCCAGACTGCTTGCGGATTCGGGCAGAATCAATGACACAGGGGGAAAGGGGCTTCAAATTCAGTCTGCCTAGTAGACGATCCGGTGATTATGGAGGTGTCTTTTATGGCGATAAACTAACTTAGGTACGTCGTCTTTTTCTGCGGAATACCTACATATATATATATGATGGGAACGATTGACGGGCAATCTATCCTCGCTCAAAGAATGGAGTTTCATGTGTTACATGCCGATTGTAGAGAGCAAGGCGTGCCATCCTGTATTGGTATCATGTAGAAATTCATGGGTATAATATTATATGTATGCTACGTGTCGCCCCCTTTCCCCTCTTTAGGAACCAGCACTACATTTCGATGGTTTCTGCGTGCTGTCCACCTCGACACTACTTATTTAGCACGCGAATGCTGCTTCCGCATGCGCTCGATGAGGCCCTGTTTCTCCTCGCGTAGCGTGACCCATATCCAGAACCAGCTGATCATCTCGAGGAAGATGAAGGTGAAGAAGACGCGGTTCTTGAGCCCGTCGCCGCCCCAGACCGATGGTTCATAGGCGGAGGAGCGGCCGGATGTGGACGCTGGCCGGGAGGAGCGCGGGGCGGCGGCGCCGTAGACGGGCGAGGAGGGGCCGCAAAAGTACGAGTAGAAGACGAGGGCCATGCTGAAGAGGGAACGGAGAGGGGCTGAAGAGAAAGAAGTTAGAGAACGAGGCGTGGTTGGTGGTTGGAATGACACCTGGGGCTGACCTTGGACACCCCAGTAGTAGAGAGAGGCAAGCTCCTCGGGCATGGAGAGGGCCATGAGGTCGCAGAGACCGAACAGGGCCAGGACGACGGCGAGGAAGGCGAGGACAGGACTCTGGGCGTCAAAGCCGTGGGTGACGGGCTGCAGAGAGGGTCAGCGCACATTCCGAGTCATTGTCTTTTTCAATTTCGGAGATTCACCATGCCCATGCTCTCGCCGAGGACGTAGACGAGGGTCTGGTCGTTGATGGCGTGCGGGTTGGTGAGGAAGAAGAAGGCGATGGTGAGGTGGAAGAGGGAGACGGAGGTGATGATTGTCTTTGAGGCGATGAGCGGCATGGCGGGCAGCGGCGGGTGATGGTGGTGGTAGCGGCTCCGGAGGTGGTTCTGTCGAGGATATGAAGGAGGTGATGTCGAGTTGGCGTGTTGGGACCGCTGGCACCGGGCGCCGCCTGAGTGGGACGCTGGTGGTTGGTGGTTGGTGGTGGTGTAAAGAGGGAGAGACTGAGGCAACGAGGAATGCCTTATCAAAAGCCCGAAAGATGGGGGGCGAGATCTTGGAGTACCTATTCCGCGGCGGGGATTGGAGCACGTCGCGGCGAGAAGCTATCGTGGCATCTCGGCAAAGGAGCAAGAGACTGACTGGCTGCCTCGAGACCTTGAGATGGATGCCGGATAGAGAGAAGCTGCAGTGAGGCCAAAGGACAACGCGACTCTTGGCAGGGGACCTTTTCAGGTACGGCAGCTGCCTGGAGCTCCAGTGGGGCGGTACTGGAGATGTGGCTGGAGAGGTGGCGCGCTGATAGCCAACCGCCTGCCTGCTGTCTGAGGTTAAAGCATCTTTTCTCGGAGCAACATCCAGAATTGTTTTATTCCAGGTGACTGCAAGTTACCAGTCAACAGGCTGCGACTGGCTTCAAAAATGCCGCAATGACGAGCATGGGAAGCCCGTCAACTCAAGAATGAACACTCGACACTCAGCTCGGGTCCAGCTCAACAACCAACCGACGTGACGGACGATCCGGACCAAACACCATGGCAGCGACCGACGCCCAGCAAACGTCTTCCTTGGACACGGCCAGGCATATCAAGTACTGGCAGCGTTGCCACGGCACCTACCTGCCATCGGCCTACACGGCAAATGACTCGACGCGCCTGACCTTTGCCTACTTCATCGTCTCGGCCCTCGACCTGCTGTCGTCCCCCCTCTCCGCAGAGGACCGCTCCGCCGTCCGCTCCTGGGCCCTGAGCCTCCAGCACCCGGACGGTGGCTTCTGCGGCAGCTCCACCCATACCCTTCCCGGGCTCGACGCCGCCAAGGGCTCCGCCAACCTCGCCGCCACCTTTTTCGCCCTGCTGTTGCTCGGCGTAGCCGCCGATAACGACGCAGAGGCCCGGGCTGCCTTTGCGGGGGTGCAACGCCGGAAGCTTCTCCGGTGGCTGAGAAGGCTGCAGCGCGAGGATGGGAGCTTCGGCCAGATCCTGTGGGACGGCGAGCCGCAGGGCGGCAGGGACATGCGCCACAGCTACCTTGTCAGCGGCATCAGATGGATGTTGAGGGGGCCCGCTGAGCCCGGTGACGAGGCTTGGGAAGATGACGTTGATGTGGACGCCATGGTGGCTCATGTCCGACAGGGCCAGGTGGGTGCCCCGGGATGCATCGAGTCTCGCGGGGCCTGACTGATCTCAGGCAGACGTACGACGGCGGTCTCGCCGAGGCCTCGGAACACGAATCTCATGGTGCGCAGCTCCATGCTCACGAACGGCTTGGGCGGCTGGCTGACCTTTTCCTCTCTATTCTCCAGCGGGATACGCCTATTGCGGGATAGCAGCATTGTACATGCTGAATCGTCCGTTGTCATCGTCTACTGGGCCTCCAAAAGGGGCCGCCATTGCACAGGGCGTCGTGGATCGTCAGGCATTGATCAACTTTCTCGCGCACAGGCCATTCGAGTATCTCGCGTCGCGAGAAGAGGAAGATGACGGGGAGGAGGGAAACTTTATTGGAGCTGAGGCGGGTGAGCCGAGCTCGTCCAAGGGGAGCTGCCACGTCGGGTACAATGGGCGGTGGAACAAAAAGGCAGACACGTGTTACTGCTGGTGGGTGGCGGGAGCCCTGACGGTAGTTTGTCCTCTCCATTTGACGCAAGCATGCGCGGATGCTGACGACGGCTTGACCGAGGTAGATGCTCGACGGCCAGGACCTCATCAACACGGCCCCGTCCCGGCGATACATGCTCGACATCACGCAGCACCAGATCGGCGGCTTGTCCAAGTCTGTCGGAGGCCCACCGGATGTCTTTCACTCGTATCTCGGGCTAGGCGCCTTGGCCTTGCTGGGCGAGCCGGGCCTGAAGGAGTTTGACGTCGGGCTGTGCTGCAGCCGGGACACGGCGCGCAAGGTTGGCCTTGCGAGAGATGGGCTGTTGGAGGCGCAAACAACGGATGGGTTTGATGACGATGGCTTTTGGGAGAGTCTGGCTCAGGGGCGAAATGGGTGCTTGGCGTGACTATAGGATGACTGTGGAAATTGATTTGACTCTCCTATATGATTCGCAGACTGGAACAACTCCCGACGTTGAAGTGGATGGAGGGCCAAAAAGGTCGCGCCGTCGCACAGTGCAAAGCGAGTGAGCAACAAGGGCCGGGATAATTCCGGGCCGCCAGCCGTGACTTCATCGTACAAACTGCCACGCTCTCTTTCCTCAACCGACAGTGCCATGGCCTCGACACCACCCCAGGAGTCCGCCCCGGACCCGTGGGACGACAAGACAAGAGAAAAGTTTGAGGGGTGAGTAGAGCAGCCGCTCGAGCGCCGGCGCAACGTGCTGATGACCGTCTCCTGCGGCGAGCCCTGCAGCAAATCAAAGAGCGAGTACTACGACCCGTGCCAAGAGGCTGCACAGCGGAGCTACCGCTGTCTGTACCGCAACGGCGGCGACAAGTCCATGTGCGGCGACTTTTTCCAGTATGCGCGCGGGACACGGTGCCAAGAAAATGCCGGGACACAGTAGGCTGACGATGCTGGAACAGGGCGTATCGCGACTGCAAGCAGGCATGGGTGCGTGGGATTCCTCTAGGGAGGTCTCTATGGACAGGAGAGAGGGCTAACAGTGGTTTCTTTGCATACAGACTGAGCGGCGGAAGAAGGAGAGTGGCGGCAGGTTTTGGTGATGAAGGGGCTGGACGACGACACGACGGCCTTATAAGCCGACTGCCACACCTACACATGGGAAGTCGACTCAAATCTGGGAAACGATACAAGTTGTAGGATGTCCCGAGACTGACGAGAGCGTTGTGATAATTATACTGGAAACGGACGGGCTGTAACGGATGGGAGTCTCGAGTCGCGGCTTTCGGACTGATGGAGGCATCTGGCGCAAATCCTAGGAAGCACAACGGTAGCTACTGTATAAATGAACTTGCCCCTAAAGTCATGTTTTCTTAAGCTGTTCAATGCTGCAGCACAGATAGGTTGAGCAGCGAGGCATGTATCGATACAGTGCTAATCATACAGTATAGACACTGTAAATACCCGGCGCCCAAACTCACCTGAACCCCTCGCTGAAAGAATCGTGAGCTCCAAGTCGGATCATCAAGGCCGACTTGACATGCCATGAGCCGCCCACGCCCTCGCCTGAGAAATGGCGTCGATCTGCAGCTGCAGTCTGCTTTCCAGGACGGTCACTGGCCCGTCGTCATCCGTCTGGCCGAGAAGCGGGCGCGTACCTTTCAGGACCAGTATTTCGAGGTCCTGCCTATCCATCACTCACACTGTCTTGGACCCCCGGCTGACCTGTTCCCCAGATTGTCAAGATATGTGCCGAGAGCCAGCTCGACGACCCCGTGGCCAAGTTCGCCGCCGTGGCTGCCGTGAGGCAGTTTGTCAGGGCCGGGACCGTCGTCAAGGACGTCGACGCCATTGACCTGCTCGAATGGGCCACCCTCGACTTGATGGACGAGGCTGACTTTGCCGAGTCCCTTGGCGCCCTGCGCGTGAGAGCGGCAAAGGCCTCGCCAAAGGACAGGAACGCCGTCACGCGCTGCCTCGAGTCATGCTTGCTGCACTGGGACTTGGTGAGCGCTCAACAGGTAACACGATGCTTGATTCTTCCCGACCTCTCTGCGGCCCGAGCTGACGCTTGCCAGATTGCCGCCATCCTCGACAGGTCTATTCCCAGCGAAAGGTCGTTTCTGTTCTGGAATATCGTCATTACGCACATGCTGGCGGTACGCGACCCGGTTTTGCCCCTCCGGCGCCTTTGCCCTGCTTGCTGACACGCCGGCGGCATCCAGACGAGCTCGCAGTCCCCCCCGGAGAAGCAGAAACTCTACGGCACCCTCGCCCTAAAGCAGATTGAACGTGCTGCGCAGCTCACCGAAGAGGTATAGTTGCCCCCTTATCAGGGAGAGCTGTCAGCCTCTGGCCGAATAGCACGCCTCTCTCTAACTTTGATCCTGTTAGGCCAGGAAAACTGCCGCAACTGATGAGCCCCCAACCCTTCCGGCGCGAGGCATCCAGACGGAGCAGGAGATTCTTTTGCTCTACGACATTGTCGATACCCATGGCACTGCAGCCGACTTTGATAAGCTGCTGGCCAGCCCGGTGTTCAGCCCTGTGTCGCAGTTTCGCCTCGGCCGCAAAGAGCCCTTTCTGCAAGCTCTGGCGAGCTATCAACGCAATGGCAACTGGGAAACCGTCCTCGACCTCTGCCACGACTGCCTGTCGGACGCTGACGAGGACGATGAGCCCACGTTACTGGCCTCGGACTGGCTGGTCTGGCGCCATTTCATTGACGCAGCCACCCACTTGAAGAGTGTTAGACCCGAGTACGTCCTATCCATCAGCGGTCGCGACGGGAGCGCGCAACTGACATGCCTCAGCGCCACAAAGGCCGTCCAGCGTGTGCTGCTCGCCCTGGTCAAGTCCAAGAACCTGCGGCCCATCTACAGGCGCAACCTCTTGCTGGCCCGGCTATCGGCCGCTTTCAATCTCGGCCCAGGGGATGAAGAGGACTTGCTGAACGGCGAGCCCTCATCTCTGCGACTGCGTGAACTCATCAGCTTCATAGACGACCAGAGGGCCAGCTCGGCCTGCTTCGACGACATCAGGAGCTTCGTGGAAAAGCTCGACGTGTCGGCGGCACAGTTTCTCGCATACCACCACGTCCCGCAGTTTGCCGACGCCGGGGCCGACGCCGGGGCCGATGCCGAGGCGACGGCTAGGATACGGCTGCTCTCGCTCAAGCTGCAGTATCTCCTCACGACGTGCCCCTCGAGCGCCGTGAGGGTGTCCGGACAGAAGCCCACGTCCAAATGCGCAATCTGCGACGCCTCGTTCGATGTGGCCATGTGTCCTCCGTGCCTTTCCGGCATCGGCCGCAGTGCCCTCAGTCTCTATGCACAGACAAGCAAGGAATTGGCTGATGACCCTGTCGCCGACAATGAAATCCTACCGGAAATTTCTTTGGCCGTGGCCTTTTGCAACCTTAAGCTCGCCTTTAACGCTGATCGGCCTGGATTCATCCCATCGGCCTCATCCTCTACGCAACACCTTCTTCGGGCGCTCTTCATCCTCGAGAGCCAGCTTCGCCTCACCCCGAAGCACGGCCCCATATCGCTCATGCTGGTGCAGTTGCACCTGGCGCTGGGCTCGGCGCACAAAGCCCGCCAAGTCTGGAACGATCTCGCCGTGAAGCGCACAATCGTCGACTCCCTGGCCCCCATGTTCTACGATCGGCTGTCGACAATTGCGCCCGCGGTCCTCTCGCCTTCGGACAGCTGGGGCTGGCGACTGACGGAGACGCTCGAGTCACATTACGCAACATCTCTCAAGCTCTGCATGCCGAGGCGGCTGGTTGACGCCTTTGAAGCAGGAAGCTACCGTAGCATCATGGATATTCCCAAGTACATTGAGAATCTCCGAGCGAGCTGCACCAGGATGATGAGTCTTGTCGAGGAGTCGCGGGCAGAGAGGCTCCTGGGCATGTCCCCAAGAAGACCGCGCAACGATGCCCGGTTTGGTATGTGCCGCCACCGTCCACCGGTCTTTTTTTAACCAGAGCTGACGAGACACAGCCGAGGTGCCTGACGAGCTCTTCTTGAGCGAGGTCATCGACTACGGCTCATTCCCATCGTGGGACTGCAGTTCTTGCCCGCCTGTGCACGCGTGTTTGCGAATCGGCCCTCCGCCTTCGGTACGCACATGCTCCCTTTCGCTCTTGACTTGTCGCTGACAAGCCCCTTAGAACGAGCGGTCCCACCTGTCGCTCTTGGCGGAAGCATTCCACGATGCGCTAAACTACAAACCACCTTCAACGTACAAAGCGTCCGCAGCTGCCGGCACAGACCAGGTCTTTGTCTTGGAGATGATGGCCCGGCTTGGCCATTCCTTCTCCAAGTTTCTGGGCGGCGGCGGCGCCAAGTGCACCCCGGAGGAGATGCTGTACTACGATGCCCTAAGCTTACTTTGCATGCTGATGTCGCTCGTTACTGGCATGGCCCGCAAAGGCGCGCTGCCAGACGTTTTTGGCTGCGTTACCGAGTCGCTGCGGACCGCCCTGGAGAGCCTTGCCGCCGGCGTGGCGCGCAAGGGGGACCAGGGGATCGAGCAAGTGACTCGGACTCTCAAGTCACTGCACGGCATCGCCATGCTTCGGGAGACGGCCTGGGCGGTGAGGCTGGCGTCGCGGTGGATCTTGGACTACAACGAGCGTGAAAAGGAGCGCGACCGCTCCGGCGGTAGCAGCCTCCCCAAGGAAGTCGTTGCGCAGGTAAAGGGCCTGCAGTCTGCGGCCGAGACAGCTCTCGGGGCGGGCAGGGAGCTCGTCAGGGGCGTGGCGGGCGACGGGGCGTTAACGGGGAGGGACGCGGTCGCCCAGCTCAGGCGGTGGGTGTTTGGGGGCGAGGAGGCGCTGGGGGACGTGGTTGGGGACGGGGCCGTGGCGGAGCTTGTGGAGAGTTGGAGCAAGGGCGTTGCGGGGTGGAAACTGGTCAAGTGGGAATAGATGGGACGTGTCTTCGGAAGAGGGTCACTTGGCGTTGAGCTGAGGAGCCTATACCGGCCAGGAGGGTGCGAAATGTAAAACCTATGGTCTTTTGTAGATGCATGGCTCGTGTTGCATGGAGGTAAGAGACAAGACAGGCAATGGCTTGGCTTTGACTCGAGATGAAAGGGAAGCGTGTGTTTTGCTGGCTATGGCTTCACGGTCAAGTCGTTCGATTCTCGCGGGCCCTCACCCCGTCCTCGACTCAGCCAAACAATGGAGTTGCCAACACCATAGAGACTTTCCACAAGGCCGTCCGTCACCTACCAGCGAATGAGCTCGAGGATCCTTGAGCCCCCAACGGAGACCATGGGGACCGGCGAGCCTGAACAGCAAGAACCATGACCGCCCGAGCCTGAACAGCGCGCTGTCCAGTGCCGGTCTCCGTAGCAAATCTGGCAGCCAGCGCCCCAAACGAGGCGAGGGCTCGCCAACCAGTCACACAGAGCGAGAGAGAGAAAGGAGAGAGGAAAGGGGCGACACGCTGCGTGTTCACCCCTGGCATTTGGTACACCGGTTTCCCACTTACCTCGACGGCTGCATCTCTTGCTCGTGAGCATCTCCTGCTCACAAGACCAACAGCAAACACCAACGGGAGAGGCAGAAGACAACCGGCATGGAGGGAGACGCCATCAAGCTACCTGGGGCTGACGGCTTCCTGGCTGAGGGCGGCCCCGGCAACTGGAGTTTCAGCCCCCAGAGGCGCAATCGGCTTGTGCATCTGCTCAGGAGCAAGCGGTACACTAGGCGGGCGGATACTCTGTCCACCAGGCTCTACACCAGCCTCGTCGACTTGTTCCGCATGCTCCTCTTCTATGTCGACCTGCAGCACACTCTATCGTTCTAGAAGCACGTCCTGCTGGACTGAGACGTTGAAGTGTCAAGTTCCGATGCTCACGTTGCCGTCCTGGTCGACTACTTTCACCGACGCCCGGCTCCGCAGCATCAAGACGCAGGACCACCGTCCGGAGAACCTGCTCATACGCCTAGCTGAGCGCTGGGGCCGCCAGAGTCGACAGCGCTGCGTGGACTTCCAGCAGGGTGGCGTGAGTAGGCTGAGGGATACTGCGTTCAACACGTTGCTAGACCCGAGCCAGCCTCGGTGCCTCCTCAACTTGAACTGGGATCAGCCCCGGGCGGGCTCGCATCCACAGCCACCTCGTGGTCCGCAGCAGTTGGCAGCGTCTCGCGGAGACCACTATGCGCAGAGGGAGGGCCGCCCTCTTCCAACGCTGGCTGAGGGGTGACCGGGTGAGCGAGGACTAAAGGCCTGGCCTCTGGGTGTTTCCAAGCCCACCCCTAAACCCAGCTGCTCGTGGCCATGTCGGTGCGTGGCGGGCTGAGTGTGGAAATAATGGAAGCTCAACGACAGTACAAGAGATGCCGAGATCGACTGTGGGTTTGGGTTCACATGCGCTGATGGTTGAGAGGGCGCAAGAGTGCAAGGTACTGACGAGAAACTCGTGAAACAAGAAAACAAGGGGAAGCTTGTCCAAGGAAGATGATTCTGAGGACGGATTGAACACAACTGGACGAAGGAATCTTCATCTGGGCCTTTGCTCACTATGCTGTCAAGGGATGCGGCGAGCTGGGGGTTTGCGGAAAGCCGGTGCCATTGCTGCGAACTCGATTTTTCTCTTGGAACTTTGAGCTCCAAGCCCTGAAATTTGAGTGGCGGAGCAGTGTTTTTCGCTCCACGTATGTATGCTGGAATCAATGAAATGGAATCCATTATGGGGTTTGATGCCCCCTGTCCATCAGCCCAGGACAAGTCGATCGGGCTTTCCGAGGCGGGAAACCTGTCAGGCAGGCTCGTATCTGGCTTGGCGTTTTGGTGGTGATCACCAGCGCCGAGGGAGGAGAAGAAGGAGAGGCCTTGGCGCAGGCAGACGGGAGCAGTGGATGATAGCGATCCAGTCAACATTCTTCCACAAGGCCGGCAAGCATGTGCTGAAAGTGTCACAGCTGCCGATTTGACGACCGACATCTCGAGCGCTTCTGAGCTGGCCGATGACGACGGAAGGATGGGAGGACGGCTGGTTGCAGGCCGCGTTTCGGACCGTTGCCCTGTGTTTCACCAATGTCGAGGGCCATGACAGGCCAAGTTCCAAGATGGGCTAGGTAGACGAGGGCATCCTCTACGGCTGACGTGGCTGCTGTAGTTAAATTTTGCCCGATCTGTCCTTATAGTCGGGCAGGGCGGGAATGCGAGACGACGAGACGATGAGGCTTAGACGACATGGACAGGGAGGACTGGCTGGCGGCGACGGAGGAGAGTGGAGAGGCAACTCAGATGACGACATATTGGGGAGGGGGTTCTTTCTTTTTTCGAGTTGCGCAGCACATTCGCAGAGAGGCTGGAAGAGGCATCGTCAAGACGAGTGGTGATGGTGATGACGAGTCGCCTCCTCTTGGGCGAGAAGACCGTCGTTGGGGAGATGGGAGGAGAATACGACACTAATACCGTTACCCGCGATCGGAGCGCCAAGTCAGTTAGTGGCTAGTGGCTAAGTTACCAGCGCATCAATTTTAAGTCGCGGGCCGAGGGTTCTCCCTCGCACGACGACAGCTTCGCCCGTCTTGGCACCAAACCATCCGCTTTTATCTAAGGTAGGTATTTGCGGGCCATGCCCTGTCACGAGCCGGCTCTGCCGCTGCATGACTTGGCTGGGCGCAACCACGCCCAGATAGGAAGCACAAGGTTCTCGGACGATGGCCCTCCCGGTCTTCGCCTCCCCACCGTCCGTATCGAGCCGTTACATCGACGTCCCGGCTTCCTGCCGTCCAGATGACAGCCTCGCCAGACCGCCGGCAGCCGGCATCCTCCCCACCTGTGAAGCATGGCGTCTCGCCCCCTGACCGTTTCGGCAATTCTGCCTTGGTTGACGCCCATAGATCGTCGGCGACAGCCCTGCCCCAATCGTCCGGGGAGCGAGGTCGTTACAGCCCAAACTCGTTCACTTCATCCGAGTCAAGTCTCTTGTCCGCCTGCTGCCCGTGAGTTTAAAAGATTGGCTCTTCCACTTCCCCTTCAGCCTGTTTCTTCCAACCACTTGTCCACCATCTCATTCTCTTCTTAGTTTTTCTCGAGTCTGTGACTTGAGTCCTAGAGCTGCGCTCTCCCTCCTCAATCCTTCTGCTTCCTACTTGATATCTTCTCGTGTACCCTTCCAATCTCTTTATCTAAATACACAACCGTAAAGATGAAGTTCACCGGAGCCCTTGCCTATGCCATTTTTGCCGCCTCTGCCTCCCTCACGGTGGCCCATTCTCCTGCCGAGGAGGGCAACGTGGGTGTCGCGGCCCGAGGTGAGTTGCTACGTCCAACCTACCCCGATCCCTCTGTGATGCCTTCGCAAGTGGGAAAACAAGGGAAGCTGGAACAAGGCTAACATTTCGCGCAGACGTTGGCGTTGGCTTTGACTCGCTCCCCAACGTGGTTGCCCGTGCTCCCATGCGCTTCGAGCGAAGGGCCTCTCAGCCGCAGAAGAAGAAGAAGAAAAACGGCGCTGCGAACAAGAAGGCTGCGAACAACGGCGCTGCGAACAAGAAGGCTGCGAACAACGGCGCTGCGAACAAGAAGGCTGCGAACAACGGCGCTGCGAACAAGAAGGCTGCGAACAACGGCGCTGCGAACAAGAAGGCTGCGAACAACGGCGCTGCGAACAAGAAGGCTGCGAACAACGGCGCTGCGAACAAGAAGGCTGCGAACAACGGCGCTGCGAACAAGAAGGATGCGAACAACGGCGCTGCGAACAAGAAGGATGCGAACAACGGCGCTGCGAACAAGAAGGATGCGAACAAGAAGGATGAGAACAACGTCGCGGAACAGGCGAAGTTGGATGCCAACAACCCAGCCCTGCAGGCCCAAGAGGCCAAGGCCAAGGCAGCAGGAGCCAAGAGAGACGTCGGCGTGCTCGAGGAGCGCCACCCGTATGCCATCTTCGAGGACTCGGGCGCAGGCAACTAAGCCTCCCATGCTCCGGCTGGACAGATGCCGTGATTTCCTTTGAAGTGGCTACACACAAACTCTCTTGTCTGCCGATGCTTGCGGTCTCTCCTTTCGGTTCACACGGCGAGGACTCGGCGGGCACCAATTCGTGGAGGACTGGACAGGGCGGCATGTCACTTTCAAAACATAGATGTTGAATCTAACCCCATGGAAAGGAACTCCTGACTGGCCGGGCCATTGGGGATCGAGGACTTTCTGTACGATAGCGTTGTTGTCCAATGCAGCATGCTGCCCTGTTCAATGTGTTCAGCAAGCGGGTGATTTCCCCTTATTTCGCCGTCGCTGGCACCGTGTCTGTCTTCGCTTCGCCCCAAAAAGCCATACCCATGTATTTCCCACCGTAGACCCTGCGTAGACCCTGCGTCGGTTGTCTTTCTCGCCATTCTGGGCGCCGAGTTTCTCTCAACTAGGCCAGCCATGAGAAGTGTGGCATTGCACGCCGGGGCGGAGCTTGGAAAGGCGAAACGGGCTGATGAACATCGGGTAAGTCAGCATCGCCAATGGTGCAGAGGAGAACTAGGTAATTAGGAAGAGGAGAGACGTGTTGGCGATCAAACGGCTTGAGACAGTCGATGGTCGACCGTCTCGTTTCAGACAACGCCGCCCGTCTTACCCCTGGGGGCTCCTCCTTGAAACGCAACAGTCTCCTTGGCGTGATCGGCCGCTCAATTCATGCTGCACAATACTGTAGAGCCAAATAAGGATCGTTCAACGCATGGTTTGCTTGATTGGGACGGCTGGATATGAGAGAAGGGGATGTTGCAGCCAAGTAAATCCGTTTCGCCTCAGCTCCCCTGTGCACATCATAGCCAGTAGAAGCTTTGTCCGCTGCGATGCTTATAGAAACCTTCACCGCCCACGTGGCACGTGCTCTCGCTTAAAGAGAGAGAGTCGGGAACGGCTGCAAGGTCGAGTACAGCTTGTTGACTTGGGGGCTGGCAAGCCTGACATGTGCCCGTGAGAAGCCCGCGCGTGCGTGCATGCAGCCATATATTCATTGCATGTCTAAGCGCGCGGCAACTTGGAGTGCCACGAATGGATCTAGGCCTGCGCAAGCACGGTTGTAATGACTCGGCGGCAGAGTCATCGCGAGCGCTCGCCAAGAGTCGAACATGGGCGCTGACTAAAAATAAGCGGCGGATTACCGTATCATCGCCAGAGGCCGTCGCCGATTCTCGGGCCTGTGACTCCAACTTTCCGTCATCGGTAACACGGCGCTGCCCATTGTCTACGGATCTGCCGCTAAGGCTCGCTTGCCTTATTGCCACTCGGTTTTCTTACAAAATCCGAGAAAGATTGCGCCTCGCTTGCCTCTCTTTTTTTATAAATCAGAGAGAGAGGTTGCGCCCTCACCGGCATGGCATGGCCAATGTGGACTCAGTTTCAAGCGGCGTGGGAGCTGCCGTCCGCAGTCGTCCTGGGCTTCCTCATGCTGCTCGCTGGTATTGCCCACCTGTACAGAGCGGTTGGTCCCCAGTCCCGTCAGACACAGACTACATGTATGCTGACCAGCATGACTCCTAGTCCAAGAGCCCGTCATCACCTCACAAGGACTGGGACCAAGACCGGCCGGGAAAGCCCGATGAGACAATCATACAGCCTCTCAAAGACTTTGACTGGATAGTCGAGGAACCCCAGAAATTCCGTCCATTCAAGCCCGTCTACCACATCTCGATGGGTAAGCGAGGACCGTGGAAGCATTCTCTCATTGATTCGCGTTTCCTTGAAATCATGGAGCCGGTTGGGGCTCCAATCTCCCACCTCATCCTGCCCCTCCTCGAGTGTCATGACTTTTGACTGATGGAGCCGTCAACGCAAAGGCTTGCAATCGGACACACCGTCGGGCCTCATCACCATTGACAAGGATTACCTCGATAGAGTCAATCTCCGGCGCGGTCTCATCCGTCAGCATGGCGACAAGGTTCACGGCTATATGCCCGCTGGCGCCGAAGGTGTGCGAGAACTGTACGCTTTCCTCATGGGAAGCTACTTGCCGACTCGGTTCCCAACAATATTCCAGCTGTCTAGCGACAAGGGCCAAATCCGCAATGTCGCCACGGGCAGGACGCATCCAACGGCGGCAACAGCAGACCCGGCGGCGGCCCTGCGAGCCATCGGAGAGACTGTCGAGGAGGACATGTTTCTGCTGCACGATACGCCCGAGGGCCACAAGTCGGTGGCCTTTGTCTGCTGCTTCGCGGCGGGATTCGACCCGTCCACCAAGCTGGGCAAGGGGCTCAAGCAGATTCACGGCCCGGTGCCTTCTTTCGACAAGATTGGACCGAGCATGGAGCGCTTTTTCGCTAGATTGCAGGTGGGCAAGAATGTCAAGCGGCTGAACGTAAGTTGAACGTGCCAAGAACATGGAGGGTGAGACTGACGCCGGAAATGAGACAGTGGGTGGTTCAGACTCACGGCGAGCTGCTCGTCTGCGATTCCCACGCGACACACAATGCTGGAAAGGGGCACGGGGAGATAGACTTTGGCCAGGTTTGCCGTTCCCTTGACTCCTGGCGGTGAAGCTGGTAGTGGTGGTTGGAACGAAGCTGACGCGGCAGCTCTAGACGTTTCTGAGAGTCGAGCTCCAGACCTTGAGCCGTCTGCCGCAGACGCGAGCGGTACTCTTTTCCTTCAAGACATACATGTACCCGATACGGCAGATCAAAGACGAGGGCCTGGGCTCTGACCTTGCAGCGGCCGTCGAGGGCATGAAGGAGGGCAACGCGCCGGGCATGTGGTTGTACAAGGGGGGTGAGCTGTGGGCGGAGACGGTGTGCGAGTATCTGCGCGCCTGAGGCGAGCTCAGATACACTGTTTGTAGAGGACGAGCAAGATGCCGTTTCATGGACCTGTAGTAATTAAAGGCGCTTCGTGTCTATCGTACAAGGCCTGTAGACCACGAAGGAAATATACAATATACATGAGATGGCACGTGACGAGGCTGAAACCCCCAGGCCCTGTCGCCGTTCGTGCGCAGCCAATTCGAGGCTGTGATTGGCCCGGTAATCTGTGGCACGGGCGGCGGCGGCAGGCTCCGCAAGCTCCAAAAAGCTCCGGGTCCCGGCTCCAGCCTCAATCCGCCCCAGCCACACGTCAATTTGGCATGGGACAGGCAAGGTTTCCCCATCTCTCGGTCCTCCTCCTTCATTCTCCGCCTTGTCCAACTGCCGCCGCTCCGCCCTGTTTCGACGCCAGCCAAGAAAAGCGAAGCACGATAACTCGCTGTCGCAGGACGAGGCTGCCGCTACCCCCACCGTCGTCCGTTTGCCATAGGCGTCCCTTTCTTTGTCCCGTTGTTGGGCTTGCTTGCCATCGTCTGTTGTCTCTTTTCTCTCTTAGCGGCAGCCCCCTCTATCTACCGCTGTACTGTACCTGCCGACACGCGCCGCCCCGCCCCGCCAACACACACTTTTGATACCAAGGTGGTACATGGTACGAATACACGCACAGAGAGTCGCACACATACAACCCGTCGATATCACCACATCCAACCACGAACACAAGAGAGAGAGAGAGAGAGAGGGACCGAGAGCGAGCGAGGAAGGGAGAGAGGCAGCCCGGGAGAGAGACACAGACAGAGACGACGAGCAAGTGAGAGAAAACCACACGTTCTGGCCCGCAACGTCGTTGTTGATTGCAGCTGCATCGGCGCATGCCTGCCGGTAACCTGGACTGCAACTACAAGGAGTCGACCCTTGGTCGTACAGCATCCTCTCACAGCTGTCATATAGCCCTCGGAGCCCGACTCTCTTCTTGCCTGCAGTTGCCGGCTATGTTGTGAGGCGCCCGTCTCGTCGTGACTCTCCCCTGCCACCGGCTCCTCCATCGCACCGCCTTGGGCTCTTCAGCTTCCACACGCATCCTCCGTCTCCGCCGCCGACTCTCAGCGGCGGCCAAGGAGCAACATGACTACTCCGCGTACGTCTCCCTCTCCTCATGCGTGCCGGCGCTTCAGACACTGACGCTCGGCCGCCTCCCAGTCACCCTCGAGGAGCTCGAGCGCTTCACCTCCATCATCGACGACATCCTGGCCAACGCCGACCTCGAGACAATCTCGCGCAAAAAGGTTCGCCAAGGCCTCGAGACATCCCTCGGCGGTCGCGACTTGAGCGAGCAAAAGGTGCGCTTACCGTCGGCAGATCATGACTGGAACCGTTCACCGAGCTGCCATGCTGACTCGACATAGGATGCCATTAAGAAGTTGATTGAAGCTCGGTTCGATGCCGTCTCGGGCGCCGACCTCAGCGCCGTCGCCCCTTCCTCAGGCCCCGATCATGCCAACAACAAGCGGCCGACGACCAATGGGGTGTCGGAGAATGGCGAGACGGATCCGTCGGCTTCGCCCGAGCCGGCCAAGAAAAAGGTCAAGCGGTCTGCGTCGTCGGAGGATGCCGACGCCCGCCTGGCCGCGCAGCTGCAGGCGCAGGAGAACAGCTTGGCGCGGTCTCGTTCGACGCGAGGCGGCGGCGACCGGACCAAGGTGACCAAGAAGCGCAAGGCACCCAAGAAGAAGAGCGCCAAAAAGGTGGGCGACGACGACAGCGAGGTTGACGGCAGCGCAGATTCGGGAGCGCCCAAGAGAAAAGCAGGGGGCGGCTTCCAGAAGCCCTTTCTGCTGAGCCCCATGCTCTCGGATCTATGCGGCGAGACCCAGGTAGGCTGCCCGTAGGCGTGCGCCAGATGGGTTTTAAATGTTGCTGACATTGTTGCAGCTCTCTCGGCCACAGGTCGTCAAGAAATTGTGGGAGCACATCAAGGCAAACGACCTGCAGGACCCCAAGGACAAGCGCCAGATTTGCTGCGACGACAAGATGCAGGCCGTGTTCAAGCAGGCCAAGGTGGACATGTTTCGCATGAACAAGGAGATTGGCAACCACCTTTACCCGGTCGAGGAGTGATGGACTTCGCATGTGTGTGGCTTGTCCTTTGAGAAGCAGGAAGAGAGGAATACGATGCAGCCATGGCGCCCAGGGGAGTCTTGAGGAGTCTCTTTGCACTCTGCCGTTTGGCACAGTGAGTTTGTAGCATAGTAGGCAGCGAAGGACGAGCAAGGGCAGGGGGTTCTCCATGTCACTGTGTTTCCGGTGCCCTCCGTAGGTAGTAGGCAGGGTGAGCAATTTAATTCTTTCAATATTGGTGTGTTGGCCAAGTACGTCTTTACTCTCTCGACTCTCCCTATGTACGGTTGACAGATAGGTATGGGAAGCTCCGGAGATGGCGATGATGCTGACGCGGAGGGCTGACATGCTGTTGCCTGGCCTCGAGTTGAGTCATCCCGGCCTGTTTGCTGGCCTCGGTACTTCGTATGTAGTTAAAGAGGCCATCACTGAATGGTGACTCTGCAGAAAAAGGTACTTGGGGGCGCAGGGCAAACGAGGGTATTCACAGGTACCGCGCACGCTGCAACAGACGACGGAAGAGGGGCACAAAAAAACCCCGAGATGACGGGGCACTCGCTTCGACAAACGCCAACCCGCAATCATCTTTTTCCCTTTTCTTCTTCTCTCACTCTTGACGCCGACCCACCCTCACAAGCCACTGCGCGCATCGTGCAATCCATCGTCTGCCAACGACCAACCAACGACGGCCGCGTCTCTGCCGCCCAAGCCAAGCACCCCAGCCTTGGCCTGCCGCCATGGTCGCGCCCGAAGGAGCGCCTCAGTCCCGACGGGGCGACGGCTCGCGAGGACGCCATCGTGGTCGCGGGAGGGGAAACACTGCCAGTGGCCGTGGCGCCGCCACAAGACGGGGCAGAGGCGACGGACAGCCTCTGAACCCGGCGGCCCGTGATGTCGCCGACGCCGCTGCAAGAGCTCATGGCCTCGACGGCGCCGCCTCCGCCAACCGGCCTGCCAACGACAACGTCGCCAACGGTGCGTCCGATAATGACGACGCCGACGACGCCGACGTCTGCTTCATTTGCGCCAACCCCGTTGCGCACCACTCCATTGCGCCCTGCAACCACACCACCTGCCACATCTGTGGCCTGAGGATGAGGGCCCTCTACAAAACCAAGGACTGCGCCCATTGCCGGGTACATTGACCCTCTCCTGCCCTCGACCATGCTCATGCTCTGCTAACCCCGGAGCCCCAGACCCCCGCCCCTTTTGTCGTCTTTACCGACGATGCCGAGAAGCGCTTCGAGGACTACTCCGCCAACGACATCACCACGGCCGACATCAACATCGGCATCAAATATACAAACGAGGACATTGTCGGCGACACCGTCCTCCTCCTCCGCTACAACTGCCCCGACCCCTCCTGCGACTTTGCCGGCCTCGGCTGGCCCGATCTCCATCGCCATGTCAAGTCTGCCCACAGCAAACGCATGTGCGACCTCTGCACACGCAACAAAAAGGTCTTTACCCACGAGCACGAGCTCTTCTCCGACCGCGACCTAGAGAAGCACATGCGCCACGGCGACGACAAGCCTGGCGCCGCGGACCAGACGGGCTTCAAGGGCCACCCTCTGTGCGAGTTTTGCGGCGAGCGCTTCTACGACGACGACAAGCTCTACGAGCACTGCCGCATGAAGCACGAGCGCTGTTTCATCTGCGACAGGAGAGACTCAAGGACACCTCACTACTACCGCGACTACAACGCCCTCGAGCAGCACTTCAAGAGGGACCACTACCTGTGCTACAACAGCGAGTGCTTGGAAAAAAAGTTTGTCGTCTTCGAGTCCGAGATGGACCTGCAGGCACACCAGCTGAGCGAACATGCCGGCAAAGCTGCCGGCCGTGATGCCAGGGTGGTCGATATTTCGGCCTTTGACATTAGGCAGTCGTACCAGCAGGAGAGGCGAGGAGGGGGCGCGGCCGCCAGAGGCCAGAGAGATGGCGAGGGGAGAGGCAGAGGACGAGGCCGCGGGGGAGGCGGCGGAAGAGGCAGAGATCCCAACGGAGACACTGTTCCGCCAACCTCAGCCCAGCCCTTGCGTCGCGACGAGCTGGCTTTTCAGCGACAAATGGCCATCCACTCTGCTCAGTCCGTCTCCAACCGCACCTTTGGTGGCCAGCTGACGCCGTCGCCGGCACAGCCGTCGGCCTCTCGCCAAGGAACCCAGCCCTCCACACCCCGGGCCACGAGCTCTGCAACGGTCCCCAGCCAGAGCAGCATCGTCAACCCGATGGAATCGCTCGCCGTTACCGATACCTCCAACCTGGCACCCGAGGAGCGCGCCCGGCTCCTCCGCCACAGCTCGGTGGTTGAGCGGGCGATCAACCTCTTGGGCAATGACGGCGCCAAACTGGCCGACTTCCGCGACCATATCTCGTCGTACCGAAGAGGCGGCTTCACGGCCCCGCAGCTCATCGACGCCTTCTTCACAATATTTGCCGACGTGTCTTCCAACGCGCTCGGAACCCTCGTGCGCGAAGTGGCAGACTTGTTCGAGGACAAGGCCAAGGCCGACGGCCTGCGCAAGGCGTGGCAGGACTGGCGGGCCATCAACGAGGACTACCCCAGCCTCCCGGGGCTGAGCGGTATGCACGGGGCTACGTCGAGCTCGAGCGGATGGGCCACCGCCTCGGCCGCCAATCCCGCTCTCCCCACCGCCGCGCCGTCCCAGAAGCACTCCAACAGGGTGCTGAAGCTTAAGAACAGCACCAGGCTGGGGGGCCCAACACCCAGCAGCCCACGGGGACCCCCGGGCTGGGCCGCGGCGTCGTCGTCGTCGTCGTCGTCGTCGTCGTCAGCCTTTCCCTCGTTGCCCGCCGCCAGCCGGCCCGCGGCGTCGTCTTCCGGCCCCGTGTCCCGGCCGTCGTCGCGTACGGCCACGGGCCCCTCGGGCGGCGGCGGGCGCCGCAGTGGTGGGCGAGGCGAGGACGCTTTCCCCGCGCTGCCCGCGGCGCCAAAGCCGATGACGACGCTGTTTGGTTACGGCTCCGGCCGCGGCGTGCGCAGGGACTACGGCCATGCCAGCTCGGACTTCCAGTGGGGCAGCAACGCTGCGTCGGCGCCTGGTGGTGCCGCTACCGCTGCTTCTGCGAAGCAGGACGACGTGGACGAAGCTGGGGGTGCGAATGGAGGCGGCGGTGGAGGTAAGGGGAAAAGGGGCAGCAAGAAGGGCAAAAAGGTGCTGGTCCAGTGGGGCTGAAAGGGGGCCGGGCCGGCGGCGGACAGGATGGAGAGGTGCGAGCTTCTTGCCCCTTTTCCCCCTTTCTTGGCAGGCTACGAAGAATGATGTTGTTGAGGGGGTGGAGAACGGCGTTGAAGATATTTTTGCTTGCTCCTTTTGCTATCAAAATGTGCTATCTAAAAAAGTCATGCCCGCACTTGGTTGCGAGTTTAGCAGCGAGGGGGGAGGGACGGGCCAGAAAGGGAAGATACTCATCACGCCATCAGAGCCGTGCAATAGAGCGAGAGGTCGGTAGCCAGGCGCTGATCCGCAATGAAGAACTGACCATGTTTACATAGCGAGCGACATGCAGCAAAACGCCTTTCTTGCAAACCCCTCTAACACACATTTTCCAACTCCCCAAGTCATTTACATTCGTTGCCCCTCAGAATCCAACCTGCTCACAAGCCCGCCGGCTCATAGTAGTCGCGAAAGCGGTCCGTCTCCTCCCACTGGACGTTATACACGACGTTCCAGCAGACGAGCAGTAGCATGGGGAAGCGCACGGCCCAGAAGCCGAGGTAGCCCTCGGGCAGCGGGCCGACGGCGCGCTTGAGGGCGTCGGCCATGTCCTCGTAGTGGTTGCGCTTGTTGCGCAGCGCCCGCAGCAGATCCAGCAGCCGCGAGCCCGTGTACTTGCGCTGCTTGCCCAGCGAGTCGACAAAGTCGCGGGGCAGCAGGCGCAAAAAGTCGCCCTTGGTCACCTGCGGCGCGTGCCGTTCCAGCTCCACGAGGGCTGACGAGGGGGGGTCGCGCGGCTCTTTTTCAAAGTGATCCGACACGTCGCACAAAAAGGACAGCCGCTTCTTGGCCGACCAGAAAAACGGGTGCGACATGATATCTCGGGCGCTCGGGCGCTTCTTGGGGTCTGCGTCCAGCATTGACCCAATCAGGTCTTTGGCCTCGTGCGCAAAGTCGCCCAGCGAGTCGAGCGGGCGCAGGTTGTAGCTGCCTTTGCGGATGTTGACCTCGCGCATGTACCGGTCGCCGCAGTCAAACGGATGCGAGCCGTTGGTGAGGACGTAGAAGAAGACGAGGCCGAGGGAAAAGATGTCAATGGCCCGCGTCGCCCGCCTGCCGTGCGGCATCCCGCTGTCCCCGACGAGCACCGACCCAGAGCCGCTGTGCGTACTGACATCCACGACACCGGCATCGCGCGCGTCGTCGTCAAGCAGGAGCTCGGGGGCCCGCCACCCCGACGTCCCGGCTGCTCTTCCCGTCGTTGCCCCAAACGAGGATTGGCCCCCCTCGAGCTTCTTGCACAGGCCAAAGTCGGAGACGAGCATCCGGGGCTTTCCGTCCTTGCCCATGTTGACCAGGATGTTCTGGGGCTTTAGATCCCGATGGACGATGCGCAGGGCGTGCAGGTGGCTAATGCCGTTGGTGATTTGGTACAAGACGCCCGGCAGGTCGGTGCGTCCGGCGTTGGCCAGTTCGCGGAGTGCGTGGGGCCGCTCGACCACGTCTGCTAGGGACGCGGCGCAACGCTCAAGCGCAATGTACAGGAACCCGTCTCGGATTTGTTGCGAATGGTACCGAATGACTGTCGTTTTGTCAGCACAAGGCAGGGCAAAGCAAAGAAGCTAGAGCATGGGACCGACCATTGGGATGATCGTCGCTTTCCCTGAGCAGCCTCGTCTCCTGAGAGGCAATGTCGTAAAACTGAATCAGCATCCGCTTCACGGCCACCTCTCGTCCGTCAAACCGCCCGGCGAACACCAGCGTCCCGTTGCTGCCGGTTCCCAGCTGCACCTCTGTGTTGACCTCAATGTTGCCCATCCTGATGATCGGGCCAGTGACGGCCTGCATGTCGTTGGCAACCGTCATGACATCAGGCTCGAGACTTGGCCTGTCACCGAGCTTCTTGGCATTGTTCACAGCCTCCTCCACTGTCGTAGGCGCCGCTTCGTCCCCCCTGGACTGCGATGCTTCCAGGGCCCGGCCTTTGCGGTGCTTGACACCGCCCCGCCTTCCACGATGTGCCTTCTTCTTCCGTTCTGGTGCAGTACCTGGCGAAGAGGGGTCCGCCGGGCTGTTTTGGGCTCCGGACTCCGCCTTGGACTCGGCCGCGCTATGTTCGGCTTGGGCATCGGTGGTGGCATCAGACACCTCCGTCTTGCCCGGCTGCCGGGCCTCGGCCGATCCGTCGAGAGCCTGTTTAGCCTGCGCAGGCTGGTCCTCATCGTTTTTATGCGACTTCCGCGAGGCTTCTCTTGCAGCGTCCACTTGCAGACCTCGATCTTTCTCCGCGGAAGGATCCGAAGTTAGGTAGAGAAACGTATCTCTCAGATTACCGCTCGAGCGCCAGCGATGGTATGACCTGCGGAGCTTTTTCTCGTTGTAGACCAGAGCCGCGAAGAATAGGAGGAAGAGGATCGGGTTCTTGATGAAGTCGACAACGCTGTTGGCGGCGCTCTGCGGGAGTCCCTTGACCTTGTTGATGATTGTTGCCTCATCTGCTTCTCCGTCCGGTAACACGGGAAGGTTGGAGTCATCATCTAAGTCTTCGCTCCCGTCCGTGATGGTGCCCCGGGGGAGGGTTGGAGGCTGCGGAGAGTCGTTGCGGATCGAGTCAATTGAGTGCATGCCGACGAGGGCCTTCGTAATTTTTGCTTCATTCATGCTATCCCACGCGGATGCCATGTCCCACCAGCCGGGATTCGTAGCCTGCGCTAGAGGAGCATCAATGATAAGGGGATACTGGCGGCCCGACAGGGCGTACCAACTGCCGCCCTCTGTCTGGTTGAGGAAGAGGCTGTTGCTTCGCATGCGCGCAATGCCCTCATCTTGCGATGGCATCGTGGGTTGGGGGAGCACCACCAGCTCGGGGTTGCTCTCGGCGGCGGCATCCCAGGGGCGACAGACGTCAAAGACACGGACGACCGGGGCAGAAAACTTGTGGCTAAACACGGGGGCCGCGTGGCCTGCGCGGGCATAGTCAAAAGCGTATATCTTGCCGTCATGCTGGCTGGTGATGTAGCGGCTGTCGAGGGAAACGTGATGCTGCTGGAACAGGTCGTTGTCGTAGTTGTTGGGGCTCCACTCGGCATATTTAAGCGTGGCAATGGGCCGGCCATCTCGCCGCTGGATGCCGACCGTGTACTCGGTGCGGCCGAGGGTGATGGTGCCCGTAGAGCTGCACTCCCTGGCATCCTTGTTATAGAGGGCGTTTGGACGGAGGCAGCTCTCCGCCTCGTTGATGTGGGAGCCGGTGGAGCCAAACCACTTAACGACGCGGCCAGTGGCGGCATCAAGGGTGATCATGGTGGTCTTCTTGTCGCCCGTGTAGACGACGGGCGGCTCCTCGCCGGCGTAGGGGGCCAGCTCCTCGACGAGGCGCTTCATGGTGAAGCCGGTGGCGCGAGGGCGGGAGTCCGGGCTGGGGACCCAGACGTAGACGCCTCCGTCGCGGTTGGGTTCGACAGCCCAGATGTAGTGGTCGACGGGGCTATAGTCGTCGTCGAGAACCGAATTGTTTGCGCGGTGGTGCGTCGTCTCGACCATGGGCTGGTCCACCTCGAGGTGCCAGCGTTCCTTGCCTGTCTTGCGGTCGCTAGCGTAGAGGTCTCCATCGACGGTCGCCAGAAGAACAAAGTCTTGTACTTCCCAGTCCTCCAGACTCCGCGCAATCTGCTGCGGGGCGAGCCCGGAAGCAGGGACGCTGCTGGGCCGTTGGTGTCGGGGGGGACGTGGTGCTCGGACGGACTGAGCCGGAGCCAAAGTTGCGAGGGCGCTCGCATCGTCGGGGATGAAGAGGTGCTTCCTCTTGCTCTTTTTTTTTTTGCTGGGTTTGTGGGTATAGTCGTCGCGGTCGACTGGCTGTCGAGGGTGGTCGATCAACTGTTCGTGGGCCGACGAAGGCTTCTTGTTGGCGTCAGCCTTAAGGGCGTGAAGCTGCGTCGCGGCCCAGTCACGGAGGGCGGCGGAGTCGGCGGAAGAGGGATGGGAGCCGCCATTGTTTGATTTGTGTTGGGGAAAGACAGACGAGGGAGTGGCGTGTTGATGCTGCTGCTGAGCATCGGCGAGCTGAAGCCAGGGGAGGAGGAAGACGGCCAAGGCGAGCAAGAGCTTGTGCTGCTGCGAGGACCCCCGCGCATCGACTGGAGGTCGGCGCAGCATGTCGTAGGAGTAGTCGTCGTTGACGGAGCGCTCACATGAGGACGCGAGGGTATCTGTCACGCGAGACGCTCAAGCGGCGATGCGGCGGCCATTCCCAACCGACTGTCGCTTGGGCGTTGACCGAGGTTGAGAGGCGGGGAAGCAACCGGTGTGTGGCGCCGCTCAGGCCAAGCGTTGACAAGAGAAGTAGTGGTTGGAGAGGGTGGTACTGGATGTGCTTGTGCAAAGTAGGTGTTGATGATGATATCGCCAGCTGCTTTGTGGTGGCTGGTGGAGGGAGGAGTTGCAGCACAGCGTCGACACTCGGCCGCCCTTTTTCCCCCTCCCCTTGCCGCTCTGCAAGGGCGAGAGCACAGTAGAGGCAGCACGATACGCGCACAGTACATGCCGCGCGGACGGACACACACACACACACACACACACACACACACACTCGCACGCCATTTGTAGCAAAATAATAGTCCCTTGTTTTCCATGCTGTTCCATCAGCTCCACACGATGCTGGGAACCACGTTTTTGTTGGAATTACCCTGATTGTGTCGGTAGAGCATACTCGGTTGCCGAGCCTACAGTAGTCTTTCCTTACTGTGCGCACCCGACTCCAACCTGGAGCCCCAAACTCGCTACCCGAGTAATTACCTAGGTACTAACCTACAATACTGTCCATATATAAAATGCACAGTACCTACCTAGGTAGGTAGGTAAGTAGGTAGGTACCTATCCGTACTCCGTATACGAACAGGCATAGGTGCATACCACCTAAGCCCTAGCGAAGCATCCGGGTCTCGACCTAGCCACAACCCGTGCCGAAGCGGACAAGGACTCATCAACCACTCAAACACATGCCGCCCTCCTCATCATTTCCTCTCCTTTGTTCCTTTTTTTCACCCACATTTCTCCCGTGCGCCTACCTGTCCCTTGGGTGTTTGAGTCAGCAGCGTCTGATGGGCCAAACCTTTCGAGTCGTACGACGCAGACACGCACTGTGCGTACAGTGCATGACGCAGACACGACAACAAAGGGTATTCGTATTCAATGGAACAGCACAAGGGTCCAAGGGCAAGCTAAGGTTCTTCTTGCTCTGAAGCTGTTAATGTCCAGACATGTCTCACGCGCAGCTCGCACTAACGATACGTGCTGCCTGAAGCCGTGCCTCATGCCAATTCATTCCCAGGTAAAATACGAATAAGGAGAAGCCGTGTTCGACCGAAATGCACATATTGTGATGCCGGCATATTCAGCTTCAACTATTGCCAGGGTGCACGGTCAAGCACCACATCCCTGAATCCATTGCCCCTTTCTGCTCGACAACCTCTTAGAAGGCAACAGACGCACCAATCTCAGGCGCCTGCAGGGACAAAGATGGGCTGTGCCCGTTCGCCTTCTCCAGAGTCTCGCTTCGCCTGACTCGCCATGCTTTGCCAAGGCATATATCCCAGGAACACACCGAAACATTTAGTCAATCCCGATACAAAGACGCCCTCTTCAGCTACAGTCGAATTCAATGTCCATCCGGATTCCCCTTTGTCTTCCAATGTCTACTCCGTACTGTCAAAGAACAGGCATGCCTGGCTACACGATCCACATGAAGGAAAAAAGCCGATCCACCATCTCAAGCAAATCAAGTCTTGGACAAATGTCGGCGACGAGCCGCGACCCTGACTGAATAGCTTTTCTCTTTGCCAACGTAGCCTTGCCACCCCCATCCCTAAGCCCGCTCAAACACGTCTGCTCTATGCGAGAATCTCCTCGCTTTCTTCCAGTACATCCTCGACAATCTCCTCAATGGTCAATTCCTGGTCCCCATCCGGGCCTTGCATCGTCCTGGTCTTCGCCTCGAGAAGTGCTGTGTGGGGATCCGCCGGCAGGCCAAGGCTCGCCCGGTCCTCCGCAAGCTCCCCCTCGACATCAGCTCTCCAGCTATGCCACTCATCGAGCATCTGGCGACGGGCCTCGACCACCGCTAGATCCGCAGTAGCCCCACGATCGGCATCCTCTTGCTCAAACGCCCTGCTGTACTCGCGCAGGTTCTTGCGGACCTGCTTCTGCTCCTCCTTTGACAGCAGAGTCGGTGGCCGAGGGCGCCACTGGAATTGCTTAAATTTCTCCACAGGCTCCTCTCGCAGGGGCTCGCCCTTGAAGTCGTAAATGTGGTACCCGTTTTCCATCTGTTGCACGTTAGCCCGTGCCTCTGGCGCGGTTCTGATGGCGCGGAAATCTCACCGTATGCTTCCAGAAGGATGCCCACGTCGCCACGAAGCGTCCCGACGGGTCCCACTCCAGATCAGTCACACCGTAATGATCGGCAGTGTTCATCAGCTGAAGGTTGGCAGTGAGGTCCTTCTCTGCCTCGAGCTTTTCTCCCTCAAAATCAAGATCAAAGAAATCGAGGTCCGAGCTTTGCTGGTTGTGTATCGTGGCAATGACAACGAAGCGGCCCCTGGGCGACCAGTAGATAGCATTGCTGTTCTTCTTGTCGAGTGTGCGGAGGTGCTTGAAGTTGCCCGCCACCGGCCCCTTGCTCTTTTCCGGGCAGAAGAAGGAGACGGCCGTCTTTGGGGGCACGGCCGTGACACCGACGGGCTCTGTCGTCGTGATGATGGCGAATCGGTCACCGCGCGGCTCCCATGCAAAGTTGATGACCGTGTCCTTAATAGTGTCCACCACCTCGACGGGGACGCCCTTTTCTTTGATGCGGAAAATCTCGAGCGTCGTGGCCTGCGACTTCTTTGACTTGGAGTGTCGGTCGACCTTGACGCAGAGATATGCGGCCTCGGACTGCCAGTGGAGCTTGGCGTCGCTGACGCTGAAGAGGTTGAGGGATCGCACAATCTGCTTTGACGGGACGCTCATCAAGCCGACCTTGGCGGGGTTGCTCCCAATCTCGGGCGTCCAGAAGCAAAACAGCTGCTCGTAGTTCTTGACGCCGTCCCGCTGGGGCGTTGCCGGGGCCCAGTCAAAGTCCACAACGCCATCAATCTTGATGCTGGTCTTGTCGAGAAGGTTCATTCTGGGGAGTTCATAGACCGAGATGGAGGATCCTTGCGTCAGCCGCGCCACGTACTTTTCGTCGGCGGACCACTTGAAGGCAGGCCATTGCATCTTGGCCGGCGGCTTGCCTTCTTCCACCTTGGGCAGCTCCAGATTGGCAAACGATCGGAGGGGTGCGGCTGTTGCGATGTCCCAGATGACGTAGTTTTTGCCCTCATCGTCGATTGACAAGGCAGGGTGACCACTGTCGGGGATCGAAATCTCCCGACGCGACCAGGTGACGAGATATTTTTCGCTCGGTGAGAAGGCAACGAGGTCGACGTATGGGTGAGCAAACCGAGCCTGTCTCGACCACGACTGACCACCCCAGAGCTGGACGCCTTGGGCGTGCATCGACGTGAGGTATGTGCCGAGCGGCGACCATTGAAGAAAGGTTTCCGTCCAGTGCTGGCGATCGACGATATTCTCGGGCTGGTCTCGCTCGTTGTTCCAGTACACGCCGACGGTTTCTCCGCGGAACATGACAAACTGATCGCGCCCGCGGCTCGACGGGTCCTTCAGCCACCATCGAAGGTGCTCCTTTTCGGTGAACTCGTCAATGTGGGGAGCGCGGTACTTGTCGTCGATGCGGCCCTCTCCTCCATATCGCTCGATGTCGGTCATCTTGTTGATCCGCAGGGTGTGCTTCTTGTCCAGGGGCACCATGTCAAGCTGACGGACCGCTGCCGCGGCTTCCGACGGGCGCGAGTATTCAACAAAGGCAAATCTACGAGTCGGCGGCGTCAGACTTGCTCCCTGCGCGCAGCGGGGAGGCTCAGCTTACTGAAGAGACTTTCCATCGTCGCCCATGGGCATGTATATTGAGTCCTCTCGAGTCTTTCCGACCGAGTTGAGCTTCTTGAGCAAGAACTTTGTCAACTTTGGCTTCTGTTCCTCGTTTACCTGGGGCAGTCCGTCGACGACGACAAACGTGTCGTAGCCCTGCTCGAGCTGAACCTCAAACTTTTCGCGCAAGTCGGAAATGTCAATGTCATCTTCGTTGAACTCGTCGTCGTCGAGGTCTGCCTCGCGCAGATGATCGAATGAGGGAGCCATGGTGGCTTGTCTCTCTGGACACCGGAGGGGTGCAGAAAGAGTCTCGCGAGGGCGAATGCGTGGAGCTGGGAGGGTGACCGGCAGTAGATGGAGAGTTGGCCGAGACGACCAAGGGTACTGACAAAGCCCGAATCGCAAACTTGACCACGAGTCGCCGTCTCGGTGTTGCCAGCTGTGAGTGTCACGGGCGCTGCGGCCGCAAATTTGGTGCTCTGCAGTTTCCACAATGTGTGCGGCGGAGAAGCGATGATCCTGAGCCGCGATTTTCCCGACTGAGGGGCAAGTCACGTGGGCCTCTGGTCGTTGGTGGGGTCCTCGATTTTGCAGCTACCGCCTGTAACCTGACGTTGGTAGAGCTGCTGGGAGCGCTTAAAGTCTTAGAAAATCGAAACCATCGTTGACGCAGGGACTCGAACGAGCACAAAGGCCGACATCCCACATCCACGCAAGCGTCTCTTCTGGCTCTCCAACTGCCCACCATGGTACGTCGCTTATGGCCTTGTTCAAAGTGCCTGGCCGAGAAGCATTGTAGCTAATCCAGCGTTGCTCAGTCTTTCCAACCCACTCAGATTTTTGAGGAGGGGACGACGGAAGAAAAGGGTGAGAATGCTCGTCTCGCGGCCTTTGTCGGTGCCATAGCCGTGGGCGACCTTGTGAAGAGCACGCTGGGCCCCAAGGGCATGGATAAGATTCTTCAGTCGGCGTGAGTTCTGGTCCACACACCCGTGCCGCCTTGAGGCGCTGACATAGCGGTGACTAGCTCCACCGGCGAGATCATGGTTACAAACGACGGCGCCACGATCCTCAAATCCATCGCGCTCGACAATGCAGCCGCCAAGGTCCTCGTCAACATATCGAAGGTGCAGGACGACGAGGTCGGGGACGGCACGACTTCGGTGGCGGTGCTGGCCGCCGAGCTGTTGAGGGAGGCAGAGAAGCTGGTGGACAAGAAGATTCACCCACAGACCATCATCGAGGGCTACAGGATAGCCAGCCAAGCCGCGCTCAAGGCCCTCGAGGAGTCTGCGGTGGACCACAGCATGAGCCCTGAGGCCTTCCGCAATGACCTGCTGGCCATTGCCCGCACCACCCTCAGCTCCAAAGTCCTGGCTCAGGACCGGGACCACTTTGCACAGCTCGCGTGCGACGCCGTGCTCCGGCTCAAGAAGTCATCGGACCTCAGCCACATTCAGATCATCAAAAAGGCTGGAGGAAAGCTCAGCGAGTCGTATCTTGACGAGGGATTTATCCTGGACAAAAAGATTGGCGTGAACCAGCCCAAGCGACTGGAAAAGGCCAAGATCCTGGTGGCCAACACATCAATGGACACGGACAAGGTCAAGATTTTCGGAGCACGAGTCAAAGTGGGCTCGACGAGCAAGCTGGCTGAGCTGGAGAAGGCGGAGAAGGACAAGATGAAGGCCAAGGTGGACAAGATCAAGGCGCACGGCATCAACTGCTTCATCAACCGGCAGCTCATCTACAACTGGCCGGAGCAGCTCTTTACCGACGCTGGCATCATGTCCATTGAGCATGCCGACTTTGACGGCATCGAGCGGCTGGCGCTGGTGACCGGGGGAGAAATCGCGTCGACCTTTGACCACCCAGAGCAGGTCAAGCTGGGCCAGTGCGATACGATTGAGGAGGTGATTATCGGCGAAGACACGTTGATCAAGTTTTCGGGCGTTTCCGCTGGGGAGGCATGCACAATCGTGCTCCGGGGCGCGACGGAGCAGCTGCTGGACGAGGCGGAGCGGAGCCTGCACGACGCTCTGGCGGTTCTGTCGCAGACTGTGCGGGAGCCCAGAACAACGCTGGGCGGCGGATGCGCCGAGATGTTGATGGCCAAGGCCGTCGAGGCCGCGGCAACACGGATCGAAGGCAAGAAGCAAATAGCGGTCTCAAGCTTCGCGGTAGCCCTGCGTCAACTGCCGACCATCCTGGCCGACAACGCCGGGCTGGACTCGGGCGACCTGGTGACACGGCTTAGAAAGGCCCTGTACGATGGTCTGGCGACGTACGGACTGGACCTCTCGACGCCTGGAGGGGGCATCAAAGATATGCGAGACCTTGGCGTCATTGAGAGCTACAAGCTAAAGAGGGCGGTGGTGTCATCTGCTAGCGAGGCGGCCGAGGTAAGTGATATTTGACACCGGCACAGGTTTTGAGGCGGCGGCTAACATGTGCACAGCTTCTCCTGAGGGTCGACGACATCATCCGAGCTGCTCCGCGGAGGCGCGAGCGGATGTAAGGGGAGATGGGCTGAAGTGAGCGGGATGGTCTACCATGGAGTAGAAGCGGTGGCGAAGGGGACAAGACTGCGTCGTCATAGCATAGAGGCCTTGCCGACTACTGGCCGCAGCCGGATGTGTGCTCGGCTCTCCTGAAGGGGGAGAGGGCGTCTCGGCCACGGGCTGGTGGCTGAAGGCTCATACGCGGTACAGTCAAACAAAGGTCAAGATGGATTGGCACGCGCGCTAAGGTGGCGGGCGTGTCAAGACAGAGGGCAGAGACAGTCAACATGAATAAGGCGTGAGTTGACTAATTTTCCGGCTCTTTGGGCCCCTGTCGATCTGAAAGGCCCACCGAGGGGGACTTGGTCTGCGTGGGTAGCATTGATGTATGGGCGGCGAATGTTGACACACATGAGCGACTACCTTGGCGCCTATATTTATTCCGCCTTTGGAGGGGGCCGGGGGGGGGGGAGGTTAGAAGGAAGAGAGCTGAGACGATTGGATTGGGTGAGGGAGGAGATGAGGGTGGTGGCGTGGTGATGCGTGGTGATGCGTGGTGATGTGCAAGCCTGCTACGTACCAAGATGGATGTACATACAGTACCGTTGTGCTGTGGTAGGTACTGTACCTGTACCTCTTCTGCACACGCGCAGCAGAGGTGGCGGATCATTATTTCGGCTTTCTTGTTTGCGTGCTGTGTGGTACGCATACGCAAAGGTAAAGGTATGGGTGTTCTTGGTGCCGGTAGGCCAACACTGTATGCGCATTGTGCCTATTGAATGTGCAATGCCAACAATAAACAATCAAAAGACAATCAACACGCCTAATGATCCATTCGGCTAGAGGTTTCCATGCTTTGCCCCTTTTCCTCCCCCCCATCTCTGGACCCCCTGTTTCTCAGTACCTCTTTGTTAGTGTCCTTTGTACACGCGCTCGTCCCCCCCCTCTTGCCATCAGTCGGGAGAATGATGCCTCCGTCTCATTTCATTCTCGGGACGAGCGGGAAGCGGTAAAGCTGAGTGGTGCAAGTCACTTGCCCCCAAACTCTCGCCGCAGAGGTACCTGCCCTGCATCGGCTCGGGATCGGCTTGGCATCAGCTCCACGGCCCTGTGCCCAGATTGGAGCGCGCTCGTCCTGCCAGGCGGGCCCCCCGATGCTATCTCTCCTCGGTCGACTTCTACAGTACCCTGCAATAGACTCCATCCACCGACTATTGACGAGCCCGCCGCTCCCTACACTTGTTTGCTCTCCTTTTCCCGGCCCCTTCCCTTGTCTTCGACAGCCATCATCACTCATTTTTCGACGGCTCCCTCCTCCACGTCGCTCCTTTCCGTGGCCCCATCCATCACCAGCATCCTCAACGGGCCAGTCCATTGTTAGCCGCCACCGACCCCTTCGCACCTCTGCCGCTTGTTGGCCTGCCCGACCGCTGGTACGCACCGTCCTGACGCCTGGACGCCCCGTGCCCCTTCGGCCGTACATCGACGAAAAATTCGGCGACTGCAAACCACTCTCGGGATCCTTCAATCGCCTTCCATCGACTCATACATACAGACGTCGTCGTCGTGTCGACAGCCACCCCCGCGCAGAGGCCAAGGTGCGTGGCGTTCAGCTGGGGCCCGGCAATGCAGCAGCCATGATCCGCGAACAGTTTGTTGCCGCCACCGCCTTTCCCGCCCCCGACTCCCCTCCGGGCATGACAACCTCGAAGAGTTCCAAGTCGTCTTCCTTCCAGTCCCTCAACAGCGACGACGGCAGCGTATTGGCCGACGTCAGTCACTTTGAGGACATTGGTCTCGACGATGACCATGCCACCCTCAAGAGCCCTTCCTACGTCCCCTTCCAGCCCGCCCTCTCCCCTTCCTCGACGGCTCCCTACACCAGGAACCTCGCCGCCGCCAAACGTGCCCCTAAACCGCGCCGCTCGTTCCCCAACCTGCACAATCATCTCCACGCTTCGAATCCCAGGAGTACCAATCTTGCCGTCATCACCGACCCAGGACAGTTGGCCCTGCCACGCGGTTCCTCAACCTCGTCCCTCACCGTCTCGTCGAGGCGCAACAGAAGCATCAGCCCCGTGCTGTCCTTGAATACCAGAGACCCCAGCTACCCTGCTCGACCTCGCCGCGGCAGTTGGCAGTCCAGTCGCGACCGCAGAACCCTTGCGGAGCTCGAGCACGAGTGCGACGAAGACGACGGCGACGACATCCCCGACGATATTGTCCTCGACAACGTCCCCATCTCGCCCCGTCCTGCCCACGAGCGCCCTCCCAGTCGCTCCCCGACTCTCTCCCCGTCCCCAGATCGTCTTCAAAAAGAGCGTGTGCGGAGCGTCGGAAATGGCACCCCGGCCGTCGCACAGGACCAGGGGTGCTTGCGTTCTCCCTCTTGGAGATCGGACGCATCCGACAGGTCTTCCATGAGTGCCTTCAAGACAAGAACCCACAGCTGGAACGCGGCCCTTGCCGACCTCAGCGCAGAAGCCAAGGCTTTGACCGAGAAACTGGAGGAGCATGCTGATGACCTGGACGAGCAGTACGCCAGACGCCCTTCCGTCTCCGCGCGTCCCAACACGTGGAACTCGAGCCAGACAACCACTCCGCACATGTACGACAAAAGGGAGAGAGTCAAGTCTTCGACGCCCGAACTGCCTCCCCTCCGCCGCACCAACATCATGGTCGACCCTCTGCCCATTTCCAAGGAAAAGGAGGCTGTGCTAAGTCGCACTCGACCTTCGTGGCTGCCCCCCAAGGACCCTAGCGAAGAGAGGCGTCATTTGCGAGAGTACCAGAAAATGATGGCGGCCAGCGCCAAGGCTGACGAGCGGCGCGAGGCTGCCCGCAGAGTCAAGACCGAGTCGAGGGATAACAATGCCGGCAGCCTGATGCACATTTGGGAAAACGATATTGTCCCTCGGTGGAACGACGCCATTCGCGAGAGGAGAACCAGGGAGATGTGGTGGAGAGGCGTTGCTCCGCGCAGCCGGGGTATTATATGGACGCGGGCCATTGGAAACGAACTAGGCATCTCCGACGTGACCTTCGACACGGCATTGTCGCGAGCCCGCGATCTCGAGGCCCGGGTCAAGGTGGACCAGGGCAGCGCGGAGGATGTCAAGATGGCCAAGTGGCTGGAGCAGATTCGCAAGGACGCCGGCGAGAGAACCTGGAGTGAGTTGCGCATCTTCAACGTGGGCGGGCCTCTGCACCAGGCGCTGGTGGACGTGCTGAGCGCGTATGCCATGTACCGAAACGACATTGGCTACGTGTCGGGCTGCAACGTGAGCTGTTCTTTTCCGTTTCTCCTTGCACACGGGTACTGACGAGCGATCAGACCATTGCCGCGCTGCTCCTCCTTAACCTGCCAAACTCGGAAACATCATTCATTGCCCTCGCCAACATTCTCAACCGGCCGTTACCCTTATCCTTTTACACGTCCGACCAAGGTGCTCAGGCATCCGCGTACAACCTGGTGCTGCAAACGATTCGCCACAAGTCGAGCGCCCTCCACGAGCACCTCACAAAGACGCTGGAAGGCGTGGAGCCCGAACTGTACCTCGGCGATGTCTTTACCGGCATCTTCACGGGACATCTAGCCATCGACGAGGCGGCCAGGCTGTGGGACGTCTATGTTTTCGAAGGCGATGCGCTCCTCGTTCGCGCCGCTGTGGCCGTTCTCCTGTCTCACGAAATGGCACTTCTCGGCAGCAAGACGGCAAACGAGGTAAAGTCGGCTATGTCGAGACCCCAGTCCCGCACGTCATCGACACGAGCCGTCGGCGAGTTCGGGGCAGAGGACCGATTCATGAGACTTGTCCGCGGGGCAGCCTGAACTGAATCTCTCCCCACGCCCCGGGCCTTGGGAGAGGGGTTTCCAAGTTAATGAACTAATCTTTAATCTGATTTACAGCGGTAATGTTTATGAGTGCATATAAATGGAGGGCATGCGGAGTCAAGACTCCTGGGCGCTGTCTCGCCGGGATTCATTTTGAAGGCAAGGGAAAGCGAATGGTCGGAAAAGAGGCCGTTGCGGCTCGGGGCAGGATGCCTCTTTATTTTTGTCATTCTATCCTTTGGGTCACTGTTGGATCATCCTTTCTCTCCCTCTGGGCTTGGGCAAACAGCCGACTATTGTTTATTCTTATTCTTCATCTTTACAAAAAGGATTGTACTTTCGTCAGTCACGCCGGCGAGCTGATGATGAGAGGCGAGCCGTCGGGTCGTTGGAGGCTTGGACGTTGCGCATTGCATGGCTCGGGTATAAGCTCCCCGAACAGAGCCTGGAGTTTGAGTGATGGGAAACACTCTATACATTTAGTATTCACAAAGGACAAATATCGCACACATATTCAGCCAACTTTGAAGTGTGACACAAAGTGTCGAGTGGAACATTAATCAAATGAGATAGAGCAGGCTGAGTTGCTCGTTAGATCGTAGCAGCACCCGCTCACACGGTTCTCTGTCGGAGCGGCGGCCGAGGCAACGGAGCTCAATCGGACAGGACAGGTAGCATCTCTCCTGGCGCTGTCGATGCGGTTGCCTTACGTCGAGTCAGATAGATTCATCACACGTGATGAGGTGAGAAGTGGCCACGACAAGGGCTCGGTCAGCCGAAGCCATCGAGAAAGACAATCCCTTTGGCTGCGATAAGAGAGCCCAGAGGTCACCAACAGGGATAATGACCAGTGAGTGGAGCGCCTTTGCTGTCGCCGGTACTTGTATTTGCTACGACAGCTCACTACAGCAGAAGTCCCGTCAGCCTTGCCAATACATGAGGTCTCGTGGTACATTGGATACTGTGCAGTGACCTTTGAGCCAGTGATATCGAGTGTCGGTCTAGGGTAGTGAACGACAGGCAACTGAGTAGCGCAGGACCCAAGGACCACGAAACACGGTGGAAAAGAGCACCAATTGGTGGCGAGGTTTCAGATGGCGGTCCAAAGGGACGTTAGACACGGAATGGACCGTGTGCGTGTTGGCCTTGGGAGTCAATCACATGCCACAGAGCAAAACACCGCCGGCCCGTGCATATTGTTTTCCCTTTTTCCCCCTCCTGAAGAGCGTGATACAGTAACGGCATGGGACTTGACGGAATAAAGCGGAGCCCGATACGTCCTGCCTTTGACACAAAGACACCCAATAAGGGAGGTGGTAATTATTTAACGTTATTTGCGGGTTGCCTCTCCGTTAGCCGTAGTACCCGGCGGATATCTCGCCGCTCCCCTAGGCCCGTAACGACTACCTCGGTGTGGGACAGCAACTACTTGAACGGTACGCCGCAGCCGGTACCGCACCTGAGTCTCGCTTCTTCACCGCAAAAGTAGACAAGACCATCTGCATGCTAATACGCGCTCTGATCCCTTATGTAGTGCAATGCAGCATGCAAGCCCCCTCGTCTTTGGAAGAAGGGTAGACGTGGGGAATAGGGCCCAACAAGTTTCCCAACAGAAAGCATGGCCTAGAACCCCCTTTTTCTCTCGCTCGGCTGCATCAGGCAGACGGCGAGACACTGGATGGAGAGAGAAGAAAAAGAATGCACTTACTTTGCAAGGTAGGGAGGGCGGCGGCGGCGGCGAATCAGATGCCACTTAAGGCATGTTGTTAGCGAGTCGGTGAGATGAAAGGAGCCATCGATTGTATCAGCGTCGAGAAATAGTCTGAAACCTCGCAACAAGTCCAAGACGGTGCTCTGCACAGATGGCCAACCGGAGCACGCTGGTTGGTGTGGATGGGGCCTTGTCCGTCGGCACCGCCCGACGATGAGGCAAGCTGAAAAGCACAATGCGGGCCGGCATCCTCAGAAACGGGGGCCTCCGAAAGTGGCGCCTCATCCATTTGTGTACAATGCTTGGGGCTTGACAGCGAGGCGCCTGGGCACCTTGCACGCCCCCTTTGTTCAGGAGTTGATATCCTCCGATCTTGGTGCCTCTGGCCCCCAACTCCCTCTTTGCAAGTACGTACTGTAAGTTACAGTACAACATAACACAGTCGGCAGTTCAGCCGCAAGTGCTGCAGATGCATTATGCAGCTGACATGTGCCATGCTGATAGAGCCATCAGGCGTCCTCTATCCATCCAGGTGTACCGCAAGTACTGTACATGTCCATTGCAAACCACATGGCGGACTTGCAGCTCTGAAAAAGCCACACATCAATACAGTACAACCGCCCGTAGTACCCTATAATATCAGTGCCGGCCCCGGCGGCCGACCGCATGTACCTTGCATACCTTAAGCGGCATCACGGTCTGAATCGAGCGCGTACGGAGACAGTGCATCTGGACCCCTAGGCGGTGTGTGCTGGCACCCCTTTTCGTCCCTTGATGGGAATTGCAAAGAAACCTCTCGCATTGGCCCAGTCTCCCGGTCTGATCCGCATCCTTAAATGTACTTACATGTACTCCCCCGCGCTTCCTTGGTGGCAATTGACTTGGCAGTCTTCCCCACGACCCGCAATCCCAACAACTTTTTCTGACCACACGCCCTTTACAGAGGCCCCTTACGCCTCTCTTATCTGGTCTTCTCCCTCTCTTTCTCTCTCTCTCTCTGTCCCTTTCCTTTCTGCCTCTTTGCCCCCCCCCCCTCTCCGCTCTCGTTTGCAATTCCCACGGCGAGCCAATCCACCACGCCGAGGGAAACACAAAAGACTGCCGACTCCCTACCGACATCTCCAACCTCGTCGTCTCCTGTGTGCCGTGTGTGCCTACGGTCAGCACTCACCAACCAGCCATGGCCTCGACGTCGTCTGCCGTCCCCTCGACGGCTCCTCGAAACGCTGCCTTGCGTCGTACCCTCACCTCCACCACCGTCACCGACTCCGAGTCCTCGGCCGCCGTCACCCCCTTCGACTCTCCACGGCCCTCGGCCTCGTCTACTTCTCTGTCCTCGCTCTCCTCCAATGACGCCTCGTCTAAGTATGCCGGTCTCGTCGACACCTATGGCAACGACTTCTCCCCTCCCAACTTTACCATCAAGGACATTCGCGATGCCATCCCCAAGCACTGCTTCGAGCGCTCTGCCCTCACCGGCTACTCGTACATCCTCCGCGACATTGTCTGCCTCGCCACCACCTTTGTCGTCTTCCACAACTTCGTCGCCCCCGAGTACATCTCATCGACACCCCTTCGTGCTGCCCTCTGGGGCCTCTACACCGTTCTCCAAGGCCTCTTCGCCACCGGCCTCTGGGTTATTGCTCACGAGTGCGGCCACGGCGCCTTTTCCCCTTCGCGCCTCGTCAACGACGTCACGGGCTGGGTCTTGCACTCGGCCCTCCTCGTCCCCTACTTTAGCTGGCAAATATCCCACGGCAAGCATCACAAGGCCACCGGCCACATGGAGCGCGACATGGTCTTTGTCCCCAGGACCAGAGAGCAGCAGGCCTCGCGCGTCGGCCGCATGGTGCACGAGCTTGGCGAGCTGACTGAGGAGACGCCCGCCTATACTCTGTTGATGCTGGTCCTTCAGCAGCTGGTTGGCTGGCCCAACTATCTCCTCACAAACGTCACTGGCCACGACTACCACGAGCGTCAGCGCGAGGGCCGGGGCAAGGGCAAGATGAACGGCCTCGGCGGTGGCGTCAACCACTTTGATCCCCGCAGCCCGCTGTACGAGCAAAAAGATGCCAAGCTCATCGTCCTGAGCGACATTGGCATCGGTCTCGCCGCCGCCGCTCTCGTCTATCTCGGCAATCGGTTCGGGTGGTCCAACCTGGCCGTCTGGTACTTTGTTCCCTATCTCTGGGTCAATCACTGGCTGGGTTCGTTCACCTTGTCAACACGCACGCCTGTGTCTGGTAGCCCGTGTACTGACATTTTCCGATTATAGTTGCAATCACCTTTCTCCAGCACACGGATCCATCTCTGCCTCACTACACCGGCGATGAATGGAACTTTGTTCGGGGCGCCGCCGCAACAATCGATCGCGAGATGGGTTTCATTGGCCGCCATCTGCTCCATGGGATCATCGAAACCCACGTCCTGCACCACTACGTCAGCTCAATCCCGTTTTACCATGCCGACGAGGCCTCTGACGCCATCCGACCGATCATGGGCAAGCACTACCGATCTGACACCGAGGGCGGCCCTCTGGGCTTTATTCGTGCCCTCTGGCGAAGCGGTCGCATGTGCCAGTGGGTCGAGCCCAGTGAAAACGCCCAGGGCGCGGCCAAGGGTATCCTGTTCTTTCGCAATCGGAACGGCCTAGGGACAAAGCCCTTATCTACAAAGTTCGAGTGATGGCAGCCGCCGCGGTTCGATGTTAGCCGATGATGGTAGGCGCTGAAAGCAACCTTGGCTTTGACCCCGGACACAGGTGCACAGCATGACCATATCGCTCTCCTCTCCCACCACGTCGAGGCGGGACTTGACTCTTGGGAATTGAGACGGGACCGAAAAGATAAGTCGAGACGAGATGGAAAAAGAAGAATGGGTGGGAGTGGGAGCGGATAGACAGCGCTATAGATGCGAAGTAGACTTTTGGCACTCACCTATGGATGATGAAGCATGCCATTCTGATGGCCTGGGCGGTGTCGAGAGCCGGTCCTGATAACCCCCGGAAACTGCCGATGCGGGGGAGCCGGACAGCCACTCGCGAGGCCCGGGGCTAATACGAGGTACATATGATAAGAAGAGAAGCTTAGCTGCAGCTTTATCATCACAGCCTAGCAATCGATACTCTGTTTACACCTGTCTTGTCCAGGACTTGATAGCTTGATTTCACCTCTGTCTTGATTCAGCAGGACTGGGTAAGCAAGTTTCCATGTTCCTTTGGTTTATGGAAGGATTCGATTCACCTGTCGTGAGAGCTTTGGAGTCGGGGTGATGATAGGTAGGGACGACGTGGGAGGCGAGGTTTTGATACGGGTTTTGAGTGCTGCTCTCCAGTGGCCGGCAAGATATGAGATGTATCGCAAAGTAGTCGATGAACGTCTTGGGAGGGACTGGAGTGTCGAATGGCAGCGTCTTGTACAGGGCCTAGAGCGATATCTGACGCTCGTCAAAGTTGCCTGGCCTGTATCTATCAACATCTTGCCGTCTTCATCCACACTTGAGCGCACCCGCGAGCCATGGCGAGCGTCGGCAAATCGGGTTCCCGGAGCTTGCGACACTGAAAGAGGCACAATACATATTGTGTGCCGCTTATTGTGGTCTACTTGTCTTTTGTGGATGTGCCTAGATATAGAGCACTCAAGTTTTGACCAAGACATTTCTCTACGGGGCTTGAGCCTAAGGCCACGGGAGCGGGAGACGGACGGATGTTATGGAGGAAAGAGGCCAAGTTTGTGTGTTATAGGCAAGAGCCCGGCATGGACCGCCTGGCAGCTAATCAGCTCTCTCATTCTAAAACAATACTGCTTGTCGTAAAAGTTTGCCTTGCCAGGTACCGTAACAGCTTCGACATCGATGGACATTCCACCCATGCTCGTGTTCCCACTACTGTAACAAGCCCTCGTTGGGCTGTATGTAAAGGTAGAGGGGGTGTACTGTACTGTATAGCGCAGCAACCGAGATGTTTTCTTCCATCTACCTCGTTTTCCAGGCAACGTGATTGGAGCCATGAAGCTGTCCGAGGTTGTCAATCTCGATGAGTTGTTGAAACTACTTCGCCGAAAGTGACTTCATTGGAATGCCCAGCCCTGCAGCGTCCTTGGAGTTGAACACCAGTCGTTGTCTGTGTGTTTGCGGCGGAGGGCTTCGCATCTCTGAACAGAGCATGATCTACCTTGTGCTACGTCCCTTAATTTCGACCCTAAAAGTAGCTAAAAAAGGTTCAATAGGCGCCTAGGGTAAGCTTTGTGATGGGGGCAAAACCTCGTTGGATCCCGGATCCTACAACTGCTGAATACCCCTGCTCGTATTCACACAATTAAGGTGGTTTGGGCCGGCGTAGTGGTACACATAGGCCAGACGCCGGCTTCGTTGCTGCGCCGTCTGCTTTTGTCCTGGGGTCTTACTGCTGCCAGCCTGTCAGCCCTACCTCGGTGGCTCTCATTCGCGAGTCGTGAGACACTGGGAAGCTTCTGACGTCCCCTCAGACACGGCTGAGCTGAACGGCGTCATGATAGCGTCGACCAGTTCCCGCCACCAAGTACCGGATGCCGGCTTCATCACGCAGCTCGTCTTCTCCGTGCCACCTCATCTTGATAACGCCGACCATCAAAACGATTGCCGTTGACTTGTCTAGCGCTTGGCGCTCCTGACAGGCGCGACAGAGAACACCCCTCGACTCGGAGCTCGCAGCCGATGTCAATGGCAGATGACAAGAAGTGCTGGGAGTGCCTCAAGCGACGGCACGTCTGCGACCGCTCGCGCCCGTCGTGCAAGAAATGCGGTGTTAGAGGCATCAACTGTCCCGGCTACGACCACAAGCCGCTGAAATGGATGGCCCCGTGCCAGACAAAGGCCAAACGGCGCGGCGCCGATCCTCCGATCCGGCGTGGCGAGCGCTTGGCCGTTGCGCCGGCGCTCGATGTCTGCCCCGAGGCTACACAGGCCTTGGAGGCTATAGAGTACTGCAAGTAACTTCCCCGTCTGAGCCGTCTCTCTTCGCCCCTGGACGTTCGATGAAACGCGCAGGAAGGACGACGGCTGACGTACTTTTCTGATAGACAATATCAACATCTGCCCGGACTTGTTGACGACGGGGGCAGCCGGGTCTGGAAACCCCTTTTTTACATCTCCCAAGCTTGCGCACGAATTACCACCCACCATTCTCCAGATCCTCGCGTCCTCGGCTGTCGGCCATCGTATTCTCCAAAGTAGCCCGCGGCCTCGGTCCGAGATAGCCGTACTCACCACCAAGCTGCAAGTCCACCGAGGCGAGTCGTTTCGGCTGCTCGCGCAAGCCATGGCGCAGCCGGCGTCGCAAATAAGCGACGAGACGCTCGTCTCCATCCTGGTGCTGCTTCTTGCAGAGGTCGGTCGTGCGCAGTGGCGTCTGCTGGGGCACCGTGGAATCGAATACTGATGCGATGGCGGGCAGATTCAGCAGTCCGTCGCGTCCTTTACTTGGCGACTGCATCTGGACGGAGCCTCTGCCATTATCCGCGAGCGAGGGGGGCTGCCCGGCGTCTTTCTGTCTCGCCCAATATTCCGTCACCTGCTTCGATACTTTGTTCTGTAAGCCCCTGACTGCTACCACCATTACCTCACTTTGGGACATGTGAGCCTGATCTGTTTCTGTATACAGGGTAGACGTCATGGGTAGCACTACGGCGCCTTGCGTCGAAGCTGAAAGGGCTCGTCGCCAGCTGGAGCTGGTGCCTTTACTGCCAGACCTGTTTGGAGATGGCCTGCTCACTTGTTTCCCATGTGCTCCGGAGCTGCTCCAGGACATCATCGCGGTGAATCACCTGCGGGCGAGACTGGAGGGGACAAAGCCCATGTCTGATGCTGATCGACTGCAGAACGCGCTGCCGCTGCTTCAGCGCATACGGCGCTTTTCGGCATTGAGCTGGGCAGCCGATGTCAAGATGGCCATGTGCTGTGCGCGAGAAGATGTCTCGAGTCGGACAGGAGCGGCGGAGACGAGCTCCTGGGATTGGCAACGTATCGCACGTATTTACCAGGCGGCCGTTGCACTCTATTGCGTTTCGTCTGTCCTTGGATGCGAAGTATCCGGGAGCCGCGAGTCGAAGTCAGCCAAGAGCTACAAGGAAACCTGTGCTGGGGTGAGCGGCATGAGACTCGAGTACTGCTCCGCTCTTGTCCATGATCTCCGCGCCGTGGCTGCCAGCTCGAACCTTCAGCTACGAAAGATGACTATCTGGCCGCTCATGGTTGCGGGGATCGAGGTTGACACGGCCGATGAGGCCGCGAAGCGCTTCATTGGGGATGAATTGGCTTGGATCAGCAGCGCGGTGGGAATTGCGTCGCCCCTGGTTGGGAGGCAGTTCTTGCAAGAGGGCGTCTGGCAGTTTCCGACATGCTGGCATAGCCGGCGGAGCAAAACGTGGGCGAGTTTGTTCGATAAGCCTTATATATTTGCGCTGTAGGAGGCACGGTATGCGAGCGTACATGTTACTGTTCCCGTCGGCGCAAGAGTCGTGTGAACCGCGATTCATCACAAAGTACAGATGAAAAGAGGCCGGCCTTTGGATTCAGCACAAGTTACACATGCTTGTGCCCACGTTGGCGGATCCAACGGCCACCGAGCAGGCCGAGGCGTCATTTGCTGGCAGCTGGGCAGCGTCCCAGACGGAGAGGTGTGCGAATGCCAATGCGACTTGCGGACCAGATCGGCGCCTGTGAGACAATCGGCAAGCCTTGGCCATATTCTCTACCCATTTGGGGATTCAACTGGCCGAGGCGTTCCTACGCCACCTAGCGGCATCAGCCTGCGTCCTTTACTTGGACATGTAAGCGTTCTACAACGTCTTTTCTTGTTGAGGAAATAGATTTGATGGCGCGGCAGCCTGAGGGAGCGGCTTACTGGATCCAAGAAGAGCGACGCTCCGGTGTGTTTGCGAACGAATGAATGTGTTATAAAAGAGAAGCGGGCATCCCTCGAAGCGGCTGCTTGATGTTTGAGTTCCGAGTTGTCTTTGCAGCCGCTCGCATAACCTCAGATTTGTCTCTCCAACACGTGTACTTTTTCTCATTGACTTGAAATATCCCGAGCATCCATACTGTTGCTGCTGCTCGCCTCTTTGAGCGCGGTGCCGGGCCTTCAGCGCACTCTGTTAGCGACGAGCGATTCCAGCTTTGACCCTCTCATTGTGGCCGACACCAACCGAGACAGCCTGGTGGACGAACTAGACATCCCTCACAAACACCAATGGACCGGAAATCATGGCGCTATATTTCTTCCAACCGTCGGAGATCGATTATCTCGCTGCGCCGTGGCCGACCTCAACAGCGCGCCGCTGAGTGACCGGGAGCTTGCCGGCTGCCACGATGCATCGGGCGACTCGCTGCTGGCCCCAGAGTTGGCGGCGCCCCTCAAGACGTATCCAATCCAAGGGTTGTCCGATCTTGCCATCGGGCGCATACACACAGAGCCAACCGCCTCTTCCAACCGGGTACGGGTGTTTTGGAAGCACGGCAAAGACGCCAACAACTCGGCTGGCTGTACTTTGCTATACCCGAAGCTTTCCTTCAACTCAACGGCCCTTGGCCGAGTCTTTCACTAGCAGTAGACGCCCGCGCTCCAGTCACCAATTCGTCCACATGGGACGGATCGATCAAGGTAGTCTTTCAGATTGCTGATGGAGGACGGACCGCAGAAGACAGTGTCTCCATGAAGCAAGCCCCTATTCTCATTCATCACCCGCTGCCGACAGACGAGAGGGTGTCTCCATGGCAGTCGCAGTTTATTCGAACGCTGTCCGACACTGTCAACCACCTGTCGACCCCATTGCCGCTAAGAATCCTCAACCACAGCAACGAAGTCTGGGCTCAGGACTTTATGGAGCCCGCGTATGCCAGCATGCCCGGCCGAGATGGACCAATCTCGCTACGGGTGCTCCTGCGCTCGCCCCAGTCAACTCGCATCAATGGCCGACGAGTGTTTGAGGAATTCCGAGCAAACCGTGTCGGCGGGTGGCAGCCGGAAACTGGCGAGTCCGGGTTTGGGTGGGAGGAGATCAACTCGGGGGGAAACATGGAGACAACTCCCCCCATGTGTCCCGTTCGGGCGTCCCCTATCCCCATGGATGCGTGCTCCTGGAAAGCACTTTAACAAACGTCCGGCGCAGTCTTTGGTCACGTTCCTGGAATCTCAAGGGGCTCAAGCACCGCTCTTTCTCGAGGCTGACTGGCTGGCGGCAGGCCACGTCGATGAGATGGTCCAGTTTCTGCCGTACGACAACGACTTGGGGTTCACGGTTGCGGTGCCCGATACAAACGCTGCCCTGGAAATGCTGAAGTCGGCCACGGGCAGCGGCCACGGGTCCTCTGTCATTGGCAGCTACAACGGCAGTATGACTCCCGACAACGACACGCTGTTCCTCGATCCCAGCTTGCGAAACAGGACAATTGACAAGCCGCTTGCTGATGCGTCGTTTCTCAAAACGAACAGGTACGCCCAGGATTACCTCGACGGGCACTTGGCGCTGCTTCTCAAGGATATCCCGCTTGCGCCCAGCGACGTCCTGCGCATCCCGACCCTCTGGAAGGACGTCACGTAATACCCCTGGCCAAGCCGCGTCGACGGTGCGCCGCCTCGGCTCCACCAGACGCTGCCGGGACAGAAACAGCTCCAGTCTCTTCTGCCGCACGCGGTCAACGGCGTCGTGCTGGGAAAAGACTACCTCGCGCCCAAGCCGTGGGGACCCAGGATCAACGAGAAGGATATTCTGGAGACGGCCGTTGCCAAGGTCTACGCCAAGGCCAACACGACGGTTTGGTTCATCGACGACGACATGTCGCATCACGTCAGAGGTGGTGAGATTCATTGCGGGACGAATACTCTCCGGGAAACGGGTGTTGAATGGTGGAAGGCGATCTGAGATAGTTGTCGCACCATTGAGTATCCACCACCTGAGCTCCAGCATGACTGACTATTGCTCCTTTAATCAAACTGTTGTCGCGTCTAGCCTACCGGGCGAGCCTGAATCACGGTCTACCCTTTCTCTTCCACTTGACTGCTGCTGATCATCTGTGGCTGGGCTCAAACCGGCGTCGGGCATGTTGCCGCGTGTCAGTCACAGTGATGCGTCTTGATTAAGGACTGGGAGAACAGTGAGCGTGGCGTGCGCACCGACGAGACACTACCGAGTTGTGCTCTCTGCTCCATGTTATTGGGAGCTCCGCCGAGCCCAACCGACGCCATGGCAATGCGATTCCATGTTTTCCCCGTGGACGCGAAACTCTATTACCAGCGCTTTCTCATCGGGGGGTCGTATAGCGTTTCCCGGCATGCCGATCGCAGCGGCCTTGGTCGGCGAGTGCTTTTGCCGGCTGGTATGAGATGGGGTAGCAACGCACCGCATTGAGCGTCAGAAACCGTCACACGCGGCCGAGGTTACTTTCTGCCTCTAGTCGCGCCGACATTTCCAACCGCACGATGACGTGGAGTATTTTTCAGCCTGGACGGCTGGATGGTCGCTGTTCCTAGCCCTTTGCGCTTGGCAAGGCGGCAGAAAGCTTGAGTAGGCTCAGACTCTCGACGGTGTCTTTGCGGAATGAGATGAACGGATCTGCCTAAGGACCAGTTATATCTCAGGAGTCCAAGAGGCAGGCACTTGTATTTTGCGGGGTTGACGTCGGTAAGCTAGACAAACCTTTTAGCCCCTTAAACCCCTACGTCCTCAAGCCAACTGGTCGGGACAAGTTTTGCCATGCGGCTCTGTAGATCTCTTCTCCTAGAGTCCTGTATAGCCCAGCCTTACAGGTATGCTCGGCAGTCACTATAGTCATATAGAAAGGGCTGGCAGAAAGGCAGCTTGCTATATAAAGATGAAGAGTTGCTTGCCGAGCTGATCCGAACGGGCCCATATGCCGCGCGTGACGAGGCGACTGGCTTGAGTGGCCCTTCCACGAGCCTGCCGCCGGTCTCTTCAGCCCTCGTTTCGTGGCGACCCGAAGACCCGAGAGGGCCGTGACCGCCCATGAAACACCTTGCAGTCTGTTTCATGAAAATGTCCGACCGCCACGCCAAACAAAGACGGCACATCATTTAGACCTGCGACACTTGCAAAAGACTCTGGGCCGTCTTGTTGTTCCAGGCGTCGAATGACAGGCGCGCAGAGAAATCAGCCGAACACCCGGCCTCAACTGCCTCAGCCCCCCAGCTGTTCCAGGACATGCCCCTACCGGAGCTGGACAAGATGCGGGACGGGATATTAGCGTATCTGGAACTTGTTATGACAGGGACCCTCCCCGACTAATTCCAGTGGCAGTGCTGTTGGCGTTTATCATCGACATCGGACAAGATAGCGTCGTCGAACGAATCTCGAATGCGCCGAACCCTGAGATGCTCCGATCCTTCTCGGATTACGCAAAGGGGCCGAATCGCCTGGTCGACATTAAGGCCTTGCAAGCCCAGGGCCTTCGCATCTCGCAGGGCGACCTGGACAGACGTTGGCCATGGAGCTCGACGTGGCCCAGACTCCTAGGGCTGAGAGAGAAGAGACGCATGCGAGGAAACAGTTACCGAGGAGCACAAGCCATCCGCCCACGCGAGCGCGGCCAAAGGGCCCCAGCTACAGCCTCTTCCCTCCGCCGGAAAAGCCGTTGCCGCCACTGCCCATCGTGGTAGAAAAGACAAAGCACTCTACCTCGGCGGCCCCGAGCGTCTCGCTCGACAAGGCGCGGCCGAGGGCCGACAGCGCCTCCCTGTCTTCGACTACAACCTTGGACTTTGAAGCCTCCGCATATTCATTGACCGCCGGTGCGGCCTTGGACAGAGCCCCGGAATGGCCCGGCTCCGGGTCGCCTGCCTCGAAGCGGGTTTTGGCCGCGTCCTCGGCACTGCAACTTGGATTCGAAAAACTCCTCGTGTCTGACGAGAAGCGTCACGGCAACAGCGTCTACTTTTTGGATTCCTGTGCAATGCCTCGCACCCTAGCCAGTAAGCATGGCAAGGACACCATCAAAATTTGGAAAGTCGACCAAGGGACCGTCCAGGGAGTTATTAAATTCCCGGCCTACACCGAAGCACAGTCTCGCTCACGAGACTACCTGATTCGAAGCCATTCTATTGTGTCCGAGTCGTCGAATCTAATAGCGGTCACCACTCGGTTCGGCAGGACGCTCGAGATTTGGAACTGGAAAAGGAGGAAATGCTTGCAGACCATCACCAACGCCGACCGCTGGACAGCCGGGAGGAGCGAAGGGTACGGCAATGACTGCAGTTCTCTGGCAGTCTATCGAGCAGCCACCAACTCAATCAGCTTTTACAACGTCGGGAAAGACATGAAAGGCTTGACCGAGCAACCTGCCATCGACCTCACCCAAGGAAAGCTCCCTTTTGTGCCCCAGTACCCGGAGCTTGCGATGTCCACGACCAGCCCTCTGCTGGTAGCCGCCGCCGGACCTCGGCCGCCCAAAGCAGGACACCCACCTCCGGAAAAGGAAACATTGCTGGTTGCTTGGGAGACTCACAAGGATGGTGCTATTTCACAGAAACCATATCGGGCAGTCAGACCTTGGCAGCATGAAGAGATAAGCACTGCCGTGCCGTGTCAGCTTTCTGTGTACGGCAGCGTTGCCGTATCCATCTGGATTCCGGCCAGTTTCCAAGCGGTCCCGGCGCCTCCGTCTCGAGGAGGGCTGGGATATAATCTGGCCCACGTCCCAGTCAGGAATCGTCATGTCCTGGTCTGGGACCTCGCGGCCTCTTGTACATGGACGTTTGCCATTCCCAATTGCCCCGCATGCATCTCTCCAGACTGCCGCTACGTCGCATACTGCCATGCAAGCGGCGCCGAGATTGGTGCCAGGGGGTGCTTGTCTATACTCGACGTTCGGGAGGGCAACGAAGTCTGGAGCTGGCCCGACAAAGACGCCTTGGCGATAAACAGCGGGCCCCAGCCGGGCTTTAAGCAGTTTGAGGACCTGGGGAGTGTGAGCGAGCTCTCGTTCTCGGCTGACGGCACGTTTTTGCTGGTTGGTGATAAGTCGGGACGCATTGGCATGTATAACATCAGAGACAAGATGATGCCCTTTTGACGCAGATCTTGCGTTTTTTTTTGCCATCTAATGTGTAAATGTCTTCACGGAGCTGTTGCTTGCCATCATGTGTTGACGAATAGAATAGCACACTCTTGAATAATGCACATACCTATAAGTTCAAGTGAGTTTCAATATTTGAGTCAGCCTTGCACCATCTGCGAAGCAAGTCCTCTACTACATCGAGGCCATCTTGGTGATTCGCTCACGCCACCTCCCATCCCTCGAAGCTCAATAATTAGCCGGAAATGAAAAACACTACGCAGATTCGCAAGAGCGGCCATCAGCGTCAACATAGCCATGAATCAGCGATAGAGCAGTGGTCTAGGAAGATGGATGATACCCCTTAATGATACGCTACTCTATCCATGTGGAGACGAGGCTTGTTGTATTTACGGCCTCAATCTTGCCTCCTTGAGTTGATCTGGTAATCGTGCCTCCACCGGTTGTGACATAAAATCTGACCGTCCCTTTTGGTTCTGCCAAATTGACATGCGGTCCCTTGGGCAACTGCGAAGTCATCTGCAGAACCCAGAGCAATGACAATGTTATTGGGGGAACTGACCGCATACAGCTTATTATCCGCATCAGTGGTCATCCATGCGACCTCTTGGTCCCCAGGTCCGAGGGTGAAGTCGTCCAAAAATGAGGGATGGAAGCGATGCCACCTTTTCCACCTCAACGTCGTCAGCCAGGTTCCCGCCTGGCATGATTCGGACTCTGTACAAGGACGCATTGGCGCTGTTTGTCCACCAAAGCCTTCCTTTCCAGGCGTGAATCCCATTAATGCCAACAAGGGCGGAGCTGTTACCCCCGGCCTGGGGGCTCATCTCCGGCAACTGCAATGCAATTTCGTGCTCCCCCGTGTGAACATGGACTTTCCAAACCAACCCGAGCGTTGAGTCTGCAATAAGAACTGTATTTTCCGTGTGCGGAAGCTTCGTGGCACCGTTTGGCAACACGGCGTCGGGAAGAGACGCAGCACGTCTCATTTCCGGGCCATGTCTGTTCTTGAAGTCCACTACCCACACGCTGAAAGCTCCTCTGTCACTTCCAGACGGGCTGAAATTGCCACCGACAATGCAAAAGCAGTCGTCGTCTACTTCTGTTATGCCACTAAGGCTGCTGATTGTGCTGATGGTAAAGTGAAGAGTGACGGTGGGCGATTCGCTCTGTGGGTTTGAGATTTCGTAGAGCGATGCGTTTGGAGCAAGACTAGTGACCAGAATGTTTCCGTTGGGTCGAACGGCAATGTTCTCGATCCATGTCCCGACGGGAAACTGCGCGACCAGCCGGTGCGGCAGAGGAAGTGACGCTCGGTCGAGACGCGACTCTGTCCGTGGCGCCAGGGTCGCGGGCCACGCAAGAGGGATCAAAGATGCAAAGAAGGCTTTGAGCAGACGGGCACGCATTTCTTAAGCTTGGATTCAGGAGTAGTAGCCTTGTACGTGCGGTGGTTCATGTGCCGCTTAGACGTCCTTCCGACAGACGTGTGTTGTTTTCGGGCAACGCGGAACTTGATAGCTGGAACTGGGAGCAACTGAGCAGTAGTGACTCACCAGTGACTCACCGGTGAGTATGTACGCCTCCATGCTCACGTCAGAGGGACCTTGAGGGTAAGCACGGATGCGTATGAGAAAAAGTTGGGCTCAACTGCTGTTGTGATGGGTCGCCCCCGAGGGGTGGTCTCAAGCAAGGGAAAGGATACGATTTACCAAGTCACATGGTTTTTCCTACCGTTGCCCGTTGCTTTCGGCCAAGCAACTAATTACCCCGGTGTTCCAAGACGCCTTCTCATATGACGGTGACATGCAAACCCCATCCATCGCAAGTCGGACGCGGGCTGCACGGCACGAGCGAGAAGAGCATGTAGGCTGTGCATGCATGTTGGCATCCATCAGACATACACACTTATAATAATGGAGTCCAAGAGGTGTACCGGCGTATGATAATAAGAGTCCAAAAGGCGTACCGGTTCATAATAATAGAGTCGAAAGTTAACCTCGGATAACAAGTAATTAAAAAAAGAAATCCCTTAAAACAGCCTTCATAAGAGGGAAAAACCGCCCCAATAAACCCCACGGGATATTAGACAAAAGCAGGCGAAGTTGCTGTGAATTCACCGGCAAAACATGCAAAAAGCGACCTAACCCCTGGCGGGACTCGAACCCGCAATCCCCAGATAGTACAATCCTTGGTAGCAGTGTAGAAGTCTGGTGCCCTGACCATTGGGCCACAGGGGCGTTCACTGCCTGACAGAATGCATAGCTATAAAGCCTAGACGTGCTGTCAGCCTATTTTGCAACCCGCGAGCGCTGTGATTGTTCACTGAAATTCAGGGTTGGTGGGCCGTCATCACCTCTTCATAGGTCATACGCCCCCTGCACGCCGTCTAACACCACATCCTCGCGCCGGCACGACGCATGGATATGGCCAAAGACGTGAAGACGAGTCGGATGCGGCAGGCTTCCTCCGCTAGGTATGGACACCCGGCACCGTGAAAGTCGCGCTTGTTGTGGTGAAGGCACGGCGGGCCATGGATGACGACAATGTGCGGCCTCCGATCTCGCGAGGCAGAAATGTCCTTCCAATGCTGATATTTGCTTGGATGGTATTGAAAAGCCGAGACTCCGTACCGCGGCGTTCATGGGCTGCCGAAAATCGCGAGGGTTGTCCTGCCGGCTTCCTCTGCGCAACTCCCCTGCTATTGCTTGCTCGTGGGGACGTCGAGGGTGACGGCCGAATCCTGCAGATAAATCACGCTTCCCCAGTCGAGATTTTGCTTGGTGAAGCTCTACCCATAGCGTCGCTCAGGTATTTGACGAGAAATGCGTCGTCTAGCAGGACATCATGATTTCCCGCAACGAAGACTTTGTATTGATGAGGCTGCCATGATAGCCACGTCATGCCGTCCTGCATCTCCTGGAAAGATCTAGTCTCTGTTAGATCACCGGCGTGAGTCAGCACATCTCCACGGGCTTCCGTCGGGTGCTTGCTCTTTGTGTCGGAGATGCAGGCTACCCGGATGGGAGATGTGCTTGGCATTGTTAGTGGTGAGGATTTGACACATGATGAGCTTTGATGAGGGCGGCAGCCACTCTACATATGCGATGCCCACGAGGGCTGGGTTGCAGAAGACATTGGAGACAACATCATGGACGCTTGGTGATGAACATGTTGGAGCAACGAATCTGCGCTGGAACAAGAGTCCCGTCGTGATTATGGCCAGCATCAAAAACGTGTTCGTTTGTGGAAATATTTTCCCCCAAAATCGCATGCATGCATGATTTGGGGTCCGGCAGATGTCCCGTCCATGGATACTGGCTGGGAGGCGCCTGGACAGGCGGATAAAGAGCGTCGAGGGACAGAGGAGCGGTAGGTCCCCTTCTGTTGAAATCCAAATCCATCGTCTGAGCTCACCGTCATTCGCCGAATGGTTCCTTTTAATCGAGTGAACCTTCTACAGAACTTCAAACCTCCACACATCAGCCCCTGCGCGTTATCATCATGGGCAATTGCTGCTCCCGACCCGACAATGAGACTGGACCGGGTCCCCGGAGGCCCCGTCAACGAAACACGATGTGGACATCTCGGCTCCAACTTCGATAATCAAGCTCGAATGCTTCTGGACGAGGCGATGCAAGACGCCCAGCCATAGTACCGCGGCCTCGGGACTGACTGGCTCAACACGGAAATGCAGATGTGGATGTCGGGGTCATTGCATGCCCGACTGACCATAGCGGCCCAGCAGCAGAATTTCAGGGTCCTTGACATGTCGGGACTGGCTATGTATGCAGCTCCATGGCCATACGCCTTCTCGGCCAAAGTGAATCGCATCCTCACGGGTGGTGACCCAATCCGACCGTACGATCTGGAAGATGCGGCCACTTACATTCACGAACATATTCGGGCTCACGGCAGTCAGCCAATGCTGTTTGCCACAGCCTTGAGTCGGGCTAGGCAATTCGACCACGAGTGTACGGTCAATTTTCTACGGACCCGGGTGAACTAAGCCTACCGCAAGCGATACGCTGACAATGCCTAGGAATGAACCGGGATTGTTGTAAAGATGCCAGGCATATGTATTCCGTCGCTCCGGGAGTGAAAAAGGGCCCAAATCATCGAAGGAAAGTTGCCATGTTAAAGGGGATTGTCTTATTTATAGGCCCTAACTAGAGAGCATACACGTATAGATAGGGAGCTCTTAAGTAGAGGCCTAAGAGTATAATAGAAGAAATAGGGGCATAGAAAGGTAAATTTAATAATATATATCTTAGTCTATCTATTAGGATAAGGGAGGGGCTTATATAAGTATAGTAACTATATATAGCTAGCTAAAAGAAGGTATTAAGATATTCTTATACCTAAGTTAGGCCTATATTATATCCTTAGCCTAAGGGAGTTAATTTTATTATTATTATTACTTATATATAGCTTCTAAGGCTATAGCGAGGCTAATAAGGGCCTAGGCTCTTATTTATAGTCCTAGCTAGCTATAGAGCCTAGAGGCTTATAACTAATTAAGGAAAGGGTAGCTATAAAGGTAAAGATAAAGGAAAGGTTAGTTTAGTTCCTCCTATATAGTGTTTTCCCCCTTTAAGGGCCCTAGGGCCCTTAGGTTACTCCTTTTTAAGCTACTTAGCCGTTCCTATCTCTATTTTAGCTAAGAAAGTTAAAAGGGCTTCCCTTCCTTCTTTAAAGCTATAGAGAAAAGGTAGTTTAATAGCCTCCTTTTATCCTTTAAAAGCTTAGTAAAGGACTTCTCTTTCCCTCTTATAGTTTAGGTACCTTAGGATAAGGTACTTAGCTATATACCTTCCTTAGCTATAGCAGTAGTTATCTTAGTCTACCTTATTAATCCTCTTTAAGAAGGAAAATAAAAAGCTAGCCTTAAAAAGGAGCTAGTAAAAGGCTAAAAGGGTTAGCCTAGGCCTCTTTATAAGGTCCTTTTCTAGGCTAAAGGCTAAGTAAGTAGTCTTTTAAATAGATATATATAAGGGCTTTTGCCCTATATAGGCCTAAACTAAGTTCTAGGCTAAGTCTATATATAAGTAGCCTCCGCGCTTATATAGGCTATACTTATACTTCTCTTTCTTTTCCCCCTTATAGATTATTAACCTTCTTTTAACGGACTATACCTAAGCCTACGCCTCTACCTACTCCGTAATAGTATAATCTACCCTTTATTTTACCCTCTCTATATCCCTATATATAGAATAGCTATTTTTAGCTACCTTTAAAGCTAACGTTTAATTACCTAGTCTAGTTAAACCGCCCGCGCTAGTATATACGCACGCGAAATATCTATACTCCTATAGTCATAAAATTAAGGCGAACGTAATACTTAGTTCGCCTAGGTAATTAAGAGCCTCTTATAATAGTAGGGCTCCGTATAACTAAGAGCGGTACTACTATACCTTAATAAGTTCGATAGCTCCTCCGTAGAGCTCGAGCCGTGGCTACTTTATATAGAAGTAAAGCTCCGTACCGATAGCGCCGTAATAGGGGATATCCGCGCTTAATTCGACTATCTTTACGCGAGCCTATCCCTACGCTTATAAAAGTATCTCTTACCGTTTACGCGTATTAGCATAAATAGACTAGCCGACCTCCTCGTAAAGCTCCGTACTAATTACGGCGAACCTAACGTAGCTAAGTCGGTAGGCTAGGAGCTTATAACGCTCCGTTAAAAGCGGAGTAAAGCTATTCTAGCCTACCTCGTACGGTTCGAAGAGGTGCTTTATTAAGTAGACGTATATAGCTAGCCTAACGCGGTAAAGTATAATTGCCTCGTTATAAGCTTAAATTTAGATTAGCGTACCCGTCTAAGCGAAAGGTCCGTATTACTAGATATATATACCGATCTCGTCTACCTTCTTCGCGAGCTTAGTAGTAATAAGTTTCTTTTTTTATCTTCTTCTATAGTATAAGAAGAGGATAACGCTAGTAATACTATAGATATCTCTATCTCCGCCTCGAGGACTAAGGATAGAAAGAGGTAGCGATAAGAGGGTCGCTATATAGGCTATAGTAGTAAATCCTATTAGTTTTTAAAGTACCCGCGCTAGGAGGCGTAGGTAAACGCACTCTAAGTAGTAGAGGGGCGCACGCGCTAAGATAGAAAGGAGGTTAGGTTTAACGATAGCGACTCTAGCGATAAGTAATCTTAGTAATACCTCTACGGGCTTCGTTAGCGTCCCCTCGCGTGCGGTAGTAGCTACTATATAGACGGGATATATACCTATAGCGACCGAAAAGGCGGCTAAGATATAGGAAGGCCGCTAATATAATATAACTATAGCGAAAGGGAGTGCCCGTATAGCCCTATATAGGAGGGAGCAGAGCCTTATATACTAAAGTACCGTCCCCTATATTATAGTACTAGGAGCTACTACCGTGCGCCGATATAGGGGGGGCGGGATACTATAAGCTTACCGAAGCTAGCTATACGCCGTTCTACGTGCCTCTACTCCTTAGCTAGAAGTGCTAAAGCCCGACTCTTAAGGCGCGGCCCCTACTAATAATATAGTCTATCCGAGAAGCTCGCTTAAGAGGGTATTATACGTTATTTGCTAACGTTTTTTCCGCGACTAGGCGTACGTAGTCCGCGCGAGGGTTCTATCCCCCTAGGCGCGGTATCGGGTATTATTTAGAGGCGCGCCTCTTTAAAAGCCGGGTAGGGGTATAATATAAGGGCTTTTACCCTATATAGGCCTAGACTAAGGTCTAGGCTAAGTCTATATATAAGCGGCCTCCGCGCCTATATAGGCTAGGCCTATACTTCTCTTCCTTTTCCCCCTTATAGATTATTAAACTTCTTTTAACGGACCGTACCTAAGCTTACGCCTTTGCTTACTCCGTAATAATTATCTTAACCTACTAATATATAGAAACGTCTAAACTAGACTTACGATTTAAAAGACGCTTTTAAGGTAGCGCTTAAACGTTTTCGTTATAATAAAATAAAGATCCTTTATATAGTAGATTATATATATAGCGACTATAAAGCGAGCTAGTATTAATACCTTAAAGAATAGATATTAATTAACTAAACTAAATATAGTATAGATTAAGTATACTTTAAAAAATAAATACTTATCTTAATTAAGGATACTATAAATATAAAGATACTATTAATAATATAATTAAAGGAGGCTTATTAATAAGAAGGCTAGTCTCTCTTAAAGTTTAGCTTATACCTTAACTCCTTAAAGAGGTATTTTAAACGCTTATTAAAAAAAGC